ATTGGTCGTATTGGTGGGTGGTGTCGTTCCATTTGGCGTGAGTATATTGCCGGAAATCGGTGATCTCCTTGTAGGTGATGTGGCAGTCGGTGAGGAGATTGGCAATGGAATGGTGTTGTGGTCGGTTAGGGTTGTCGAGTTGGGTGGCATGGAATTCGAGCCATTCCAGGATTTGGTCTGCAGGTGTAAAGGTGTGAAAGTTGTTTGGAGGTCGCCAACGGTTGATTGGGCGACGGAGGACGGCTGTGGTGGGAAATTGAGTGGGGTCTGGGTTGGTGTGTTCCGTGTTAGGGCGTAAATCGATGGGTTGTGGTGGTGAGCGACTGCGGGATGGCGTAAGGCTGGATGTGTAAGTGGATGTCGAAGGCGAACGTCGTCGCCGGGTTGTACTGTGATGTTTGGAGTGGCGGTGATGTCGATGTCGGCGGCGGTGGCGGTGGCGTCCTCTGTGGTGATGGTCGGACTTGTGGCGGTTCTTGCGGTGGTGATGGCGACTGCTGTGTGGTGGTTGCGGGGGAGGTGGTTGTGGCGCTGGTGAAGCAGTGGTGTCAAGGTTGTCTGGTGCAGGTGGTGAAGGTCCGGGCGCTGGTGTGGCTGATACCAGCGATGGTGATGCTGAATCTTGGGATACGGTAGCCGGAGGGGTCGTGTTTTGGACCGGTAACGGAGTGTCCGTGGCAGTTGTGGGAATGTGTTGGATTGGTGGTGTTGGATCCGATGGTGTCTGCTGTTGGAGTGGAGGCTGGACAGGTGCTGAGGCGTTGATGGTGTGTGGAGGTGGTGGCGGGGGCAAAGGTTGGAGTGGAGGCTGTGTGACTGGGGGAAAAGCTGAGTAGGGCTGCCAAACACCCTGGGGGTTGGCGGATTGGGGGTCTGTGGATGGATGATTGGCAATCGCAATCTGTTGTTGTGTTGGAGGGGGATGTGTCAGTGTGGGGGGGGGAAGAGGTTCAGCCGGTGGTGTGGGATGTTGTGGTGGCAACAGGTATGACGGGGGAGGTGCTGCTGTCGGAAAGACTGGAGTTGGATGTGTGGGTTGTGGTGGCAAGTGACATGGTTGCACAAACGTCCAAGTGGAGGGTGTGCCGTAGGTCAGTGCAGTGGCGGTAGGGTTGGACAAAAAAGGTGGTGGTTGAAATGGTTGGGATTGTGGGTGGGGGTATGCCGGTGGTTGTGTTGTGGGAAATGTGGGTGTAGTTGATGGCTGTGGCAGCGGCCATGTGGGTTGAGGTTGTGTGGTAGGTAATGGTGGTGGCGTGGCGTGAGCGTAGGGCCACGGAAAATGCATGTCGTGGTCGTGGCTATGGCACGGCGCGGCGCGGCAGCAAAAAAGCAGCGGAGAGTGTCGAGTTGTATTGTCTTGTTTTGTTGTTGTTGAAGGTGTCATCTCTGGTGTCGATGGAGAGTATGTTGTAAAGTGGCGCTGGATGTGAGCTTGTTAGTAGGTATGTGTTCATGCATCTCGAATTAAGCTGAAAAGCATTAATGCCCATCCTTGAGTTCTGTCGATGACAGAATCACGGCATCAATATGGTAAAAAGTGGAAACACGTACATGATTTGAAGAAATGAAATGACGGGTCCGAAATCTGAAAACTGAAAACTGAAAGCTGAAAACTGAAAGCTGAAAGCTGAATTCCGATGTATTCATCAAGACCCGTTTTTTGGCCCGGCGGCCGGTATGTCAGTTGATTCGGTGAGGGTGTCGGTGCCTTCCTGTGAAAATCCAGTGAGCGGTGGTGCGTTGGGTTGGTTGCTTTCCCATGCAAGATCGGCGCCCCTGTGACGGGGATCACACTCAGCACCCGAGTGGGACGGCTGAGCGGGACACACTTCGAAACTTGTATTCAGTGACTCAGTTACCACGTTGGGAAAAGGTGAGGGAACGGCAAGGCGTATAAGTCGGCCAAAACAGTATTGTTTAAAATTGTTTCCTCAGTTGCAAGTCTGCAGTTGGCGGCTGGCTGCAAATCACGTTCGGCCGAAGAGTGCAGTGGAAAAATCCGTTGTTTGGGGGAACGTAGCATGAAGAAGGACCATGAATCAAACCGTGGAAAAGTAGGGTGACAGCTTGTGGAAAACTTCGCAGGTACATGGTTGAGCGTCCTCAACCACTTCCCTTCCAGCGACCCAGCTTCGTTGGATCAGGTTAGTCGCTGGAAGCCTGATCCCCCTGCATGTGAAAGTGAGTGGAAATTCTGTGGCGGTGGAAAACCCTTTGTCCAGGGGTGGACACACACACACACAGACAGAGACTCATACACACACAGACATAGATACACACACAGAGACCCACACACTGCCTCAACTCACTCGACTTAACACTTCACACTGAACACTTACCAGATAACTCACACTCTGACTTCCTACGTGATGAAAAATGCTTTCGGGCCACTCGTCGTCTAGTTATTGATGGTCATTGACCAGTATGGGAAAGAGAATGGTCCCGTGCATGTTCCGCGCTTTCGGCCCAGTCCCATGTCCCAAGAACCGATGTCGCTTCGGACGGAGAGCTAAGCTCGCAGCTAAGCTCTCAAGAGATCAAAGAAAAGGCTGACGTTCGAAAACACATCCCAAATTGAACAGTCTTGTTGGGAATCGAACCGTCTGCCATGCCCTTTGGGAGGTTCAGGTGTTCAAGGGTTCGGACATGTGTAGACGAATGGTTTTGATGTGCACACCGAACCTCCACATCGGAAGTGGTCCACACCATGAAGACGCCATGAAACTCCTCTCAGACTTGAGAGAAGATGCTTTAAAGGTCACCCGCCACCCACCAAACCCACCGGGACTTGAGCCCAAAAAAGCGGCTCCCAGGTCCGCCAGGTCCGCGAGGGTGGCGGCCAGGGTGGCGGCCAGCGAGGGGGCCGAGGGGGCCGAGCCGAGCTGGAGTGGGTCTCTTGGTGTGACCACGCAACGAGTCCCTGAGTGACCAGGTCTCTTTTGGGTTTGTCAACGGAGAGAAACATCCATCCCATGAGCATGAGGGATAGTCATTGAGTCATTGCTTTTGTCATGTCCAGCTGGGTCATCTGTCATTCTCCTGCCTCTCAAACAAAGTCGTCTCGCAGTCCGATTCACACGTCGTCTCGCAGTCCCTGTCAAGCTTCTCCCTTGTGTCGCACCAAGTGCATCGTCTCCGTGGCCGTCACGCCGCTCGTCGCCGCCTCGGGCTGCAGCCCCCGTCCGTCCGGGCCGAAGAGCAGCGAGGGCGTCCAGGTCAGGGCCACACGGTCCGGAGCCGCAGCGGAGCCCGCAGGAACTGCGCCCGGTGTGGTCGGCGGATTCGTGTGGTCGCCCGGGGTGGTCTGCGACCTCTGCTTTTGGCCTTGGGCAAAGAGATCATCGATGGTATTGGTGTGTCTCCGGCTTTTGGCAGTCTACCCGGAGAAAGAGAGATGCATGTGTTTTGACTAATTGAATTGCGGACGAATCATTGGTTGCAAATCGTTCACTAATTCTTTGGGTGGTTGGGTGGTCTTCAACATATTGTGTTTTTGCCTCCAAAACATTTTTTAAAAAACGAGGGTCTACTTCTTCGACCCTTCTCGAAGTAGTTCGCCCAATATATGCATTCCCAGGGTCCCACCGTACCGCGATTTCGTGGGGTGTCACATCCAACGGAGTGCGACTGAACACGGCCAGACTGAGCGAGAAGCCACGAGGTCATGGCCACGAAGGAAAGGACAGGCCAACTGAAAGGTGTAACGGACGGAAGGAATGATCCTACCTACTGGTACCAGTTACCTCATAATAAAAGACATCGAATTTCTCCGGCTCCTGGACAAGAGCACATACTCTTCGTACAACATGTTAACTTGATCTCATCCACTCAAGACATTAACTAATATATACTAATATTAAGTTCTGCAGTCCTAGCGAACCAACCAACATCATGAATTTGACTGTTTTCGGTGACAGTGACAGGAAAGGAAAGAACTGTGATCAAAACCAGCAGTGTCTTACTGCTTCGAAGGTGCAAAGGGGTCCATGCTGTCCATTTTGCCGGCAGAGGTTGCAGCAGTAGCCATGGTCTTGCTGAGTGTGCCGAGCAAATTCACCTCACTTTGCAGATGGGTCTAGAACCCAAAACTTGTTGGAGCTGTTGCAGAATAGAATGATCTTAGCATTCCTAATATCTTGATTCTCCCCTTACGCAAAGCTACGGACAATGTCCCATAGATCTGTTCCAAGTGTTCCTGAAAATCGTTCATGGATTCAAACTTTGTTGTACTGGATGTACTCGTGCTTCACCATTTTTCACCCAGGCAAGTGGTCTTTTAACAGATGTCGTTCTTGGTCGCCTCCTCCGAACCGTCCATACGACTCGTCGCAGATGTCGGTCATGGGGCTCAGCTACGTAGACGCTGTGCTACCTACGAAACCTCCTGCTATGGAGACAGTGTTGTTTTGGAACTCCACCTCGTCTTTGCTAGCTCTCTTGGGTTGTAGATGGTTTCAGTATGTTTCAGTCAGTTTCAGGTCTCCAAGTCACATCCCTCACGCAGGCATTTGTTCACCGGGCTCACGGGTGAAGCACGGCTGCCTTTGCAGCCCATGGCGACCAGTTCGGGACCGAACGCGGTGGTTGCGGCCTGGCTTGGGCCTTGAGATAGCAGCGGTTGTGTTCAGCAGCGGTTGTGTTCAAAAAATAGGTACCAACCCCCCTAGAAGTCCAGTTCAACGATATGCTTGGCCCACTGAAGCATTCATGTTGATGTTCCAGTCACCGAACTGAGACCACACCTAGGACGAGCCCGGCGACTGGACCGGCTCAGGGTGCTTTGGAGGTTCGAAAGGAGAATCCACGTGGCTTCATTGGTAGGACCACATCCTATACCTGGCAAACACTCCATTCATCGAAGAGTGGATCCGAAATCGCCTTCGGTGCCTTCTTTCCACACCGGATTGACCAATTAGGTCAACAGTTCCTCTCCAACATTCAAACCCTCATGCCACATGAGAACGCGGCGAGAACGGGGCGTGGTGCTCACGCAGCTCCTTGATGACCTGCTCCTGTCGATGTGGGTCACGATCCCGGTAGGGCTCGCGCAAGTCGAACAGCTGCGGCATCGGGCCGTGGCAAAGCGCCCGCCGTGGCGCTTAGGCCGCTAGGAGGTGTTCAGTGCTGAGGGTGGTGGGTTTGCTTGGTGTGCCTGTGGATTTGGGGATTGAGATGCATGACGATGTTCTATTCATGTTTGATCCTTTTTGGATGGTTCTCTGTTGAATCTATATCGAATCTATCTACAATCTACAAGTACTTGAGGAATCTTGAGGACTATATATATATATATTATACATACGTCGTATATAATATATGTTTGCACAAAGTCTTCTCAAGAATTCTCAAGATCTGCGGCGAATTGGCCGCTGCGACACCGACGTTTGCTTGAGCATAAAGCTGCGTGGAACTTGCTGCGCACGTCGCAAGACGTCGCCTTCGTTTGTGAAAGCTCGACCCAGTGCCGTGCTACCTCTGCCGTGCCACCTCTGCCGTATCACCCAGTGTCCAAGTCCGCTCCCAAATTGACATGTCACCGATATTCACCGATCATCGCTCGATCGAGGAATTCCGTCCATTCCACCCCGACGGCCGACGGCTCAAACGCAGCCGACGAGCGATGAAGTCCACCCCCTTCGCCGCTTCCTGAATGCGTTTGGGCAGGTCTGGGATCGGACGAACCGAAGAAGGAAAGAAGGGAAGGACAGAAGCCGGGAACATGTGTGGATTGGCGAGCCCGGCGAGCCTTGGTAAATTCAACCAAACACGGATTCTGCACATGATTTCGACACTGCGATGCAGTCTTGTGGGACGGTCTTCTCCGAATCTGGAAGAAACCAAATGTGGAACCTTCCGCGTCCAAATCTTCCGGCACAGCGAGAGCTGTGTTCGTGTCCACTTGTTTAGCAGGGGACAAGGCCCTGCGGCCCCACCGACCGCAGGAAGAAGCCCGTTTCGAGTAGAAGCTCGGTTTCGAGCGAAAAAGAAACGCGTGGAACGAACAGTAAGCTGCAATAGCCACCACAAAATCGATGGACCATGAAAGCATCATAAAGCTCTGAAGTGTTCTTTCAACTCGTAAGGCACACCAGCTACAAGCCATCAATTGCTTTATCATGCTTTATCACTTGTAAGCCACACCTGCTATGAACGGCGCTGTATTCAAAGCTGTCCCAAAGCTGTCGCCAGACGGCCTGGCCCATGGGAAGCATCCCAGCCGACAGCGTGGACTGTTCCACTTGCACCAGCTGCACCTCATGCGACGCGAGGCTGTAGAACAGGCCAGGTATCCAGCGACTTGCTTGCTGCGCCATTGGTTCGACCGGTCCCAAGGTCACAGGATGTCCCAAGTGGTTTTTGCCACTTCCATGAACACTCCAGGAAGTATCAATAATTAGATAGGATCATGCCCGTAGACCCTGGGTCTACGAAGATGCACTATCCCCATGCACGCGTGGGCCCAAGTCCCTTCTACAACCATCAGCAGTTCATCAGCAATATCTACCTTCTCAGATTCGCCCATTTCGAGAAAAGCGACATCGCTTAGGTCCACGAGCACGGAGAAGGGGCTGAACTCGCGCATGACCTGGGCGCCAGTCCGGTCTGAAGATGGATCGACTGGTGTCCAGATTCGATCGATGACCTGAGAGTGGTCCAGCATGGGACAGTTCTTGAAGTTACAGTACCAGTAGTTCCAAAGGGGTGCCTATTGGAGGATAGGAATGCCCATTGTCCACTCACTTGGTGACCAAAAACCACCCCTTTGTGACTCCTGGTAGATAAATGAAGTTTGGGTCAGGAATTCTGAAACAGATGAGACCATCTTCCGGGCTCGTCCATCAGGTCCAGTCTCATTCGGTTTCATTCCCCGTCCGCTCGGTCCATCGATTGTTGAGACCGAATTGAGAATTCAATGACTCATATAACTGATATGTGTGGTTGAAAGCTCTGAGATCATCTCCTCATCTCATCCATCTGCTGTGGCTCTGACACCGTAGAAATAGTCTCGCACTCTTAGCGCCTGAAGCCGCAGAGGGCGCGAAATGCACCGATCCATCGTTTCGGACGGAGCCCTCACTTGGGTGTATAGCTGATAGCTCCAATAGGGAGACCATCCCAAGCAACGACTTTCTAACAGAAGAAAACTTCCCATCCAGGACCTAAGTGGAAGTCATAACTGACCACTTGAGATACTGGCGTTCTTTCCACGGTTGCCTTCAGGGTATCTACCGGAGGCCTGGCCTATCCTGCCCGGACCGGTCACGCAATACGCCCCGACCCGCGGTGCACGCGGTCGGAGCCACCCGCAGGTAGCGGATCCGCTTCTGCGCTGCTTGGACCACGCCGCCCGCCTGTGAGGTCCGAGCCGGGAAGGGAAGAGGGAAGCTACGAACGTAGCTCCTGGCATTACTACGAACGGAGCAAGAAGCTACAAACGGAACAAAGGGCATCACTACGAACGGAGCAAGAAGCTCCTAGTTCAGGGTCTAAACAGCTGCTGGGTCTAAGGAAGAAAAGAAGAGCGGCGACGATGACGATGATGGGGTGAGCTCTCGAGTCTTCTTAATGTATTTTGTTTAATTCCCAGAGTCAGCCGAGATGAAATTCCTTTGGTTGGGTAGCCCCAAGTTGATGACACGCAACTGCCCTATCTAATCTCTCACAGATTCCATTAATCTTACTTAAGTCTTTCTAGAAAGCCTCCAGACCCGATCACAAGTGTGAGGGGCCCAGCAGTTGCACCACTAGCACCACTCCCCTCCCTCCCACCTTGGGAAGTAGCACCACTTCCACTTTGGGCACCCCATTGACCTTGGGAAGGCCAGCGAACCTCAGCGAAGCCAGGCCACGAGCACTGGCTTCACGCTCGTGATGCAGCCAAAGGATCTACGACCAAAGAAACGTGTACTCCCTGGAATCATCATGAAAATGGACGACCACCTGTTTGTGGAGGAAAATTGTTATCCAAAAAACCATGCCATCCACTTCCGGATACTGCGCAGATCTTGCGAAGTTCGATCCTCTTTATTGTGCAACAGTTCAGTTTCAGATGATTGGATGAACGGATCTATTCTTATCTTTCATCTTGTGTCAAGGCAACCTTTTTGTAAGGCAACCGAGCAGGCCGGTGTTCCGATATGGCCCCCCAAAGCAAACGAAAAGTGCGCAAGCACTGCCGAGCCACATCTTGCACAAAGCCGCGTGCAAGCCTTCGCTATCCAAGACCAAGACCACATCAATCTGCCGGACGATGCAAAACCCACCAGACGTGATCACTTCACAAGGCTCCAAACTTTGCAAGAAGAACCTCCACTTTCGGACTGAAAAAACATGACAAACCTGAAAGGAACTGACTTTAGACTCTTGTTCCACCACACCTGGTTTCTGTGGAAATTTTGACCCAATTCTTTGTGTTCGTGTGGTCAACTCCGCCATTTCTGCACATCCAAGAGTGAATCAAGGCCACCTGGCGCGAGGGACTGTCCAGTTGTCCCACTGGTGTCCAGTGGAGTTTGTCCCCATCTTTGGAACCTCGAACATCTCAACAATCTTCTCCAGCAGCGCCTGGACGCGAGCGAGTTCGCGAACTCGCGCGCGAAAGAACGACGTGGCGTAAGCCGAAGCCGAGTCGGTGCGTTCAGGTGCGAAGAAGGGAGAAGTCAAGCGCCAGGAGTCGGTGCGGCAGGTGCACACAGCTAGATGGGGTGAGAAAGACAAGATCAAAAAGGGGGCCCAGACGTGTCAAACTGTATCACCTACGTGCTTCAACTTCGGAGGATCGAACAAGCCAAAAGGTTCTTGGTGGCTTTTTGAGAGCACCGTTCGTGCTCCAAGAAACCGGTGGTTTGTTGTTTTGGGGGTGTCAAAGTGTTTGTAAAATGAAGTGTTTGCTACTCAAATTGTCAAAGGACTCACTCAGAGCCAGAAGTACTGGGTGTGTGTGTCTCAGAAGAATGGTGGAGCCACTTTTGAACCCAATTCCGATTCCATGCAAAGGAGCACTCCCTGATCTAGGAGTTCAGATTTCTATGTAGAGGTGGACCAGATTGCTGCATCCATCCCCGCCATTTTCGATGCGCTACATGGCCACCTTTCCAGATTCGGCTCAAACCCTCGGCTGCTCCACGTGCTCCACACCGCTTTACAAGGCTCCCTGCAGGCGTTGGCTGGAAGGGCGCATTGACCACTAAGCCACTGGAGCTGGTCCGGGCACCCTGGCAGAGGGCGTGGAATCGATGAAAAGAGTCGCCTACAGGTGCGGAATTCCTTCGGTGGGTCTCGCCCCCTGGCTGCAGCTCGGCAGCTGAGGGATGATGATAGATCATGGATAAGGTTGTAGAAAGTCTGATAACAATTGTGACACAGTTACAAGGTGCTTTTTTCAGATCAACTATCATATTATGGAGCATTACGATGTCAGAATATCCGGTGTTGAACTAAAATGCGGGGCATTACTTTGGCAAGCTTCAAATCTAGCCCGGGTCTTCTTGTTGAAAATATTGTTGTAATACCAACTGTGGTTGGTGATCAACAAACCTTTGCTCCACTAAGACTGGTGTTCCACCTCCCTTTCAAAAGTGTTCCTTAGGTGAGGGAGAAGGAAGCAAGTGTCCATGGCCGCGAGCTAGTCAGCCTCTCTCGAAGTAGCATGCGACAACCTCAGAGTCCAACGGCAGATCTTCGTGCGGCGACAAGAAAAGGGGGGAAGGTGCCACAGGATATGGAAGGAGACAGGAGGAGTGTTGGACATACAAATGTTCCTACTGAGTAGGAACGAAAACTCTCTCTCTCTCTCTATCTCTCAGACATCCTTCAGCCACTAGTTCTAGCACGACCGGCCAGGCCATCAATATGTCCAACCCATCCACTGTCTACCTCTTCGTCGACTGCCATCCACCGGTCACTCCGAAACGGTTGGTCAACCAACACCCACCGTCAGTCCCCGCCGGAGAACGGAGCGGAGAACGGTTCTCCGGTTTCGCTGGTCGTGGATCGGTGATCGAGGCCGGGATCGGTGTCGACCGGTCGTTCGACAAAACAGGTGGACAGGTGGAGGCTCGCACCGATCGTTCTGCCGCCGAAAGCACTGCCTTTTCGTTGTCCTTCTGTGGGGCCCGTTCTGCCGAAAAATGGTACGAAAAATGCCGAAAAATGGTGCCAGGCACCCATGTTCCTCCAAATCTGCTTTCCAGGAGCAAGGTTTGTCAACAAGTCAGTTGAGTCAGTGGAACGCACGCGAGCCGGGTCACTGGCTGGAGCACGTTGGGGTGAGCGGGACATCTTATGTTTTAGAGAAGGTGAGACGTCCACTATCTCCCGCGGCATCTTTCATGCCAGGGACGACCAAAAAGAGATCAACGACGGCACGGGGCTCGGGGCGAACTACGCCGCTTGCGCCGCTCAGCGGCGCGATCCACGGTGGGCTGGATGCATGGGACACGCCAACGTGGTGGCAGGAGACAGCTGCAAAAGCCTGAAACCCTCAACAAGGACAAACACGCCCGTCCCAGATGGCTCCCAGGTGGTCCCAGATCCCCTTTTTTTTCCTTCACAGGTGGTGGTTGGAGGATGTTCCCCCCACGATTTGATCGAAGCCATGTCGAGGAATTGACCCAGTCGACCTGTACTGAAAGCCTTCGTTTGCACCCCATGTGTTGCGCCAGCTCACGTAGGCTCACGTAGGCTCAGCCACTGTCTTCAGCAAAACACCCTCAATCGAGACAAGAAACCAAAAACCCAGAAGTAGATGGCTTTCCAATAATAATTGACCCATATCGGTCTTCAGGTGCTTGGCTTTATCATCTTTATGTCTCAGAGTTAGATGCTGCGGATCCCCACTCCTACCCCCCCCCACTCCTTGGTGTCTTGGATAAACCGCCCCTTCCTCCAGTCCGAGAAGCTTGGCGGAGACCACGCGGCTGAGATGGGACACCACCCGTTGGTACCAGCGCGGGTTCTCACCTCGGTCCAGCGTGACCGCGTTGGACTGAGCACGGATGGACCGGCTGGCTGGCTGAGCGCGGAAGGTTTGTTGACTGGATGGGTTTGAAAGGAGGACTCCGGTTCAAGGCGCCTTGGCAAATGTCCTACCAACGGTTACCAACGTTAAGGACTGCGGTTAAAGCATCCGAAGAAAACGGGCCGCAAATGGGGAGGTTAGCTGTCCCAAGAGCTTCTGCGTCTCGTCTCTCTTTTCAACTCAAGGCTGAACCCAGATTCTGCTGCAGCTGGTGGTGCACTACAGAGCTGTCACCACCCCGCTTAGGATCGCCCCAGGCAACTACCGATCCGTTTTCAAGGATCGCAGCGAAGGCACCACTTGTTGCTTTAATCTGCTGCACATTCCTGAGCTGGTCTTGCACTGAGGAGCTGTCACCGCCAGCAGCTGGATTGCCCCACGTAACAATCGATCCGTCTTCCAAAACCGCAGCGAAAGCGGTGTTGGTAGCTTGAACCTGCTGCACACTCCGGAGTCGGCTTTGGACTGCAGAACTGTCGCCACCCTGTCTTTCATGCCCCCAGGTAACAACTGATCCATCTTGTAGGACTGCAGCAAATGCACCGATTGTGCCGCAAATATTCTGCACGCTCCTGAGTTGATCCTGGACTTGGGAAGTGTCGCTACCAAATTCCGAAGCACCCCACGTCTTAACTGAGCCATCGTCCAGAATCGCAGCGAAGGCATGGTTCGTGGCTTGAACCAGCTGCACACTCTTGAGCTGATCTTGGACTGCTGAACTGTCACCACCATCACCTGCAATGCCCCATGTAACAACCGACCTGTCTTCCAAAATCGCGGCAAATGCAAAACCTGTGGACTGAACAGACTGCACCTTCTTGAGCTGATCTTGCACTGCAGAGCTGTTGCCGCCAGCAGGCGGATTGCCCCACGTAACAACCGATCCGTCTTCCAACACCGCAGCGAAAGCGGTGTTGGTAGCTTGAACCAGCTGCACACTCCTGAGCCTTTCTTCGACTGCAGAGCTGTCGCCACCCCGATGTGGATCGCCCCAGGTGACAACCGATCCATTTTCGAGGATGGCGGCAAATGCATGTCTTGAAGCCTGAATGTCTTTGACACTTGTGAGCTGATCTTGGACCGCAGAGCTGTCACCACCACCGTCAGGATTGCCCCATGTAACCACCGACCCGTCTTGCAGGATGACTGCAAAAGCAGAATCTGTTGCTTGAACATGCTGCACTTGCCTGATCCGATGTTGGATTGCAGAGCTGTCGCCACCATAATTTGGATGGCCCCACGTAAGCAGTTCGTCACCTCCAAGCGACCAGAGAGCAAAGGCTCTTGTTGTGGCCGTGAGCTGTTTTGGTGGTAGCACGATGGCTGTGAGGTAGTCTCCTTCTTGTATCCCTGCGTCTTGGAGGGTTTCAAGAGGATCGGTCAGGACATGCCCCTGTGCAGTGATGAGGCGCAGTAAACAATCTCCAAAAGACTTCTGGGCCAGAATCTTCAAATCCCCTACTTTGGAGGAGGCCTGAACTTCGAGACTTGTTCTTGCTCCACTTGGCAAAGCGACATGTACTCGAAGCACCCGGTCCATGGAACAAAAGGATTTCCCTCGAGAACAACGTCCACAGTGCTCCGAAAAGACTTGAGCACCACTTCCACCGCTGCACATGCTGCAAACACATGGTCACCATAAGGCTTGCAGGACAGGAGTGTTGACTATATGCTCCCAATATATATATATATACAAATAACATATATATATATATTATTATATATATACAAATAACATATATAATATAATATATTATATATATAATAATATATAATATGTTATATACCTTTGAGGTTACCTTTGCGTTTGCATGACGGTCCTTTGAGTCACGGTCCTCATCTTTACCCCAAGACCGGGTTTCCCCGGCGGAAACCGGTCGCGGGTTCGTCTCTTTGTTGGGACGAAAAAAGCGACGCAGCGACCGATGCTTACGGTGTTCCGTCCCAACGAAAAAACCACTCGCCAACTCGTTGGGGACTCATCCCCAAAACTGTAGTGCGATCTCAGTGACTCCAATCCAGGTGGCCAAAGAAGTAGGCGATTCGATTCAATGGCTCCTGCCAGAGGTTGAATGACCCGAACTAGACTATACCATAGGTACCCCAGTGGGGTCCTATTTACGGTCACTTGACCGGTGATGCACAACTCTCGGCCGTCATACGAAATCTTCATCACGAAAGATTTGCGGGGCGCCTGTCACTGGGGCGTGCTTTAGAGGCGCTTTTAAAAAAAAACGGGATCCGTAAACGTTGAAAGTCTACCCTCGAGGCCCTCGAGTCTTCTTTTCTCCTGATCACGGGATCCCAAGACTAAGTAAGGCAGACCAAAACCACCAGTGACACCACAATAGACGATCGATGGATCGATGGATCGATGGATCGATGGATCGATCGATGGATGGATGGATGGATGGATGGATGGATCGATGGATGGATGGATGGATGGATGGATCGATGGATGGATGGATCGATGGATGGATGGATGGATGGATGGATCGATGGATCGATGGATCGATGGATCGATGGATCGATCGATCGATAGATAGATAGATCCCTCAAACACCTATCCCCCTGAGACACTTGTTACTTCCCCTTGTTGAGATCCCCCAACCGACCCTCACTGCCCCTCACCGGCTCCAACGACGAGCTCCACACGCGGAACGCGCGGACGCCTCGTCCGCTGCATGTTCCACCGTCATGGCCGTCACACAGGCGGGCATGCTCTGGGCAGCGAAGCGTGGCATTCCGGAAAAAGGGTGAAGGCCTGCAGGTCTTCCTCTGTACATGAAATGTACAGAAAAGGTTTCAGAGTAGATGTCTTAGACAGATTGGGGGTTCCACATGAACCACCCAAGACCTCTCCACTTATATATATATATATACAGTGGTCGTCTTAGTGGTCGCCCTTCTGGGAAATAGCAAAAAAGAAGCAACACATCGAACCCCCGCTGCAGACATCGCTTGCTGTGTGGCAAGTATAGAAAGCAGTTGGGGCATGCTTTGTTGGGATTGGCCACGGGGGTTCCTTGCTTCGATGCGTGGTGAGCATGCGTGAGCCGGGGAGCCGTTGTGGGGGTGTGCCGGAGCTGTGTGTGTTTCACACCAGCCGGAGGAGCCGTGTGAAGAGAAATCGGCGGTTGCAAGTCATGTCTGTAGGATTCTCCAAGAATGTCTTGCAAAGGTCCCTTCAGTCATTGCAAGAAGAAGAAGCAGCAGAAGAAGAGCTACAAGAGCCACGATCATTTCCAAACAAGCTAGCAACCTAGTAGAGTCCTAGAGACGATAGGGATGGGTCAAGACCACCCTGGTCCACCAAGGTGTCCACGAGAAGAGGGTATGACGTGGACATCTCGCCTGCAGCTGGCGGATGTTGGAATAGCGCGTGTCTAAGTCCACGAAGACAGGAGTATGTTCCTGGCGACATCGACCGAAGAAGGATCGGAGCGAGCCCCATTTGCCTTGGTGTTGACTTCATGGTGAGTGAAGCAACGATGGACACCCTTTGATCCGGGAACGTTCGAGTCAGACTAGGGGAGATGGGCCTGGATTTTGCCTTGCAGCAATAAATCAAGCATCTGCAGTTCTTGGGTGTTCCTATCTTGGAAGCAACCCCACATGACTCGACTCTCAAATGTCATGCAACTTCCTTACCATCAGTTCTTTGGATGTCACCAAAAAAACAGAAACCTTTCCACCCAAAACTACCAAAACCGCCCACCAAAACCGCCGCAGGGAGGCGCTCAGGCGCCGGGCTCTTCGGAGCGCATAGTTGCATAAGATCTGCACGCGCGAGAGAGCCACCGCGGCGCAGCCGCCACCGAGTCGGTCGACGACCGGGGTTGGGGAGCCAAAACGACCGGAAGGCCTGGGTCGCCGTTGAGGTCGCTGGCTGGCGTCCAAGTCCAGTGAAAGGGAAGGAAAGGAAGGAAAGGAAAGGAAAGGATGTCGGTGAATCTAGGGATTTTGGAGGGGGGAAGGAAGGATTCTGTCCAACTACTCGATCATTCAAACCCACGTGCCCTGAGGGTGTTCGGTGCCCTCCTCGGACGGATGTTGTGGCGCATCGCAAGGGCGCCTTCAAACCAAAGGGAACCCAGCGCCTTGAGGCGCCTTGAGATGCAAATCATGACTTAGAACACCTGTTCAAAGCAGCATTGAAGGATATTGAAGGTAAATCCGGGTATATAAATGTCCCAAGGTTATCATTTCCGACAGGGACACCATTCACTTGGAGCTTCATGTCAGGTTTACAACTCATCCCTTAATGATGTGCACCATGAAAGGGAAAGAACGCGCTGATGTCCGAAGCCTTGATGTCCACTTAAAAAGCCGCTCTTCGTCTGTGCCCGGTGGACATCTCTCACCTCTGAAAGGTCATTTGGTCAACAGAAAAAGACCATGTTGACCAACCCGATGACCGAGACTGTGCCTCTGGTGGATCCCCATGGAGGAAGCGAGCGATGCTTGATTCTGTCTTTTGTTCGTTTCGTTTTTACAGGGTGACACGCACCACACCATAGTGAAGGTCCAAAGCTGACTGTAGCAGAGGTCCTCGTTTTCCACGTTTCAGGGAGTCCAACCCCACCGAAATCGTCCAAGACAGTCCTGCGTCAAGTGACGAAGGGCGCGGAACCACCCCCCCGTCTGAACGAAAGATGCACGTTCGTTCGAACATCTCCGAGAAAAAGAAATAAGGTAAAACAAAAACATAAGGTAAAAACAAGGTAATCATCATGTGATGTAACATTATTTTACCTTATTACTATGACATGTGATGTCTAACCACAAAACATGATCATAGTAATCATCCTTCACCCACGCGGAGAAGTCGAAGCGACGTCGAGTTCGAACACCTGTCGACCGTGACTTCGGCGCCTGGCACAGAGCGCTCTTCCCTGAGAAGGCCGAGCCGCAGACCTGAGAGGAACGAAGCGGGGGGGAGTGGTGAGTGGTTCAAAAGCAAGCTGATATAGGTCACTTCCTTTAGTTGATCTACTGGAAGACTTGTGTCCAAAATTGACATGTTCTATCAACTTGGAATCGGCGGGGTTCTGCATGTCGTTTGTTGGACCTACTGTAACGTATGGTCTTCGTGGTACTGATCTTGTTGAGCCCCATAACTGCTATCTACGACAGTCCCCTGCCTTCACCGGATGTGCATCATGTACATGGGATGGGGAAACCGGTAGTTTGGTTGGAATTGTGGGGACAGTTTCAACTCTATCTGGCTGCTGTTGGCCACTGCCACACCGCCGCCCTTGCCTCCCTTCCCTCCCTCTGCCGAAGCACTAACACCCGCGGTGCCGGCAGGCCCAGATCGTCTGCCCTCATCCGCCGTTGCTCCAGGACGGCCTGCTGTAGATGTGCGTGGGAGGAGGCCCTCGGGACCCCAAGAGCCCCCCCCACGTATCCTGGCATAGGGATAACATATGATTTAAAAAAAAGAAATCCTTTGTCCTTGTGTTTTGGTATTGGATCTGTTTCCTGTCATCTCTTCATATCCGGTGCCCAAACCCGCCAAGTTCCGTGGCACTGATGGGCAAAACAAGAACAGTTTCCTTTTCTGCCCTGGAATGCGAGGTAGCATGGAGTTCAGTATCAAGGTGATCTTTTTGTGCTAGCCCACCCCAGCTTCCCTTAGTGCTTCAACGCTTATGACATTGCACGATGTGGTTTGATTTCCCATTCATTGACCCGCTAGCAACAAAAAAAATAAACAGAAAATATATACATCCCCCCGATAGTCCCAAATCGAGACCAACATGCACCCGCACCAATCGCACATCTGAAACGACGCAACGTCTGAGGTTTTTGCAGGTGATCCACTTGTTCGTCACTCGTCACAGGTCACACCAAACGTCACCACCCTCACGCGATCCGGCCCCGTCTCTTCATGCTGACCATGCTGTCCGAAACTCCCAAAAACCGCCGAGAGTGTCTCCCCCACCGCGCAGCACAAGTAGTCCCGCATCACCACATTCGGCGCGTCGTACTCCTGGACCGTGGGCCCAGAGACCTGGCTCTCCAGAGGGCCGGCCGGACCAGGCCCCCCGCCAGGCTTGTTGGGACCGAATCCGGGCAAACAGGGAGTAGGGCCTTCCAGGGTTTTGGACGGTTCGGTTCACCTACACAAAAGACAGAAACGGCTCCGAAAAGGGCGCTGTGGGACGAAGGATGTTCCAACACACCACTCCAACTGGAGTTCTGTGGTCACCCCTTCATGTTTCGTGGGGGGTCCCAATAAGCCGCAAAGAAAAGAAGAGGTGGAAGGTGATCCACCTGTCGTGCGGTGTCCCAACCCCGAAGATTGGGACTCTTCCGACATCGAATGGCGAACAAACAATAACCGAAACAAAGCACGGAATTCGAGTAACCTCAAAAGCAGATTGGATGAATTCATGCGAAACTGGCAAATTCTCACAGATTCATGACCATGCGCAGCAATGGACCACCTGTTTCCGCTTCCTGCGCGGCTCAAATGGTGTCCGCACCACGTCTTTGACATACAACAAAACGATCAGGCCAAAGGTATAGCCCGATTTCTCGACGAATCCGAATGGTGGCTGTCTTGTGCAGTTCAAGGCGGGCTTCACAGACCACTGCAAATCTGGGGTCTAGTCGAAAAGATGCCCAATTGGCTGTACTTGCATTGTTCAACAATGATTAAGGCAGAAGCAAGGTCACTAATAACCTGCTCAAACATGCTGCCACGTCCATCCCCCCAACAAGTTACCTAGAGTGTAGGTGCGCACTCTGCCAGCCTTTGCCCACCCAGCATTGGGAATGTGGGTGAACGTGCCACGCTGGAAAGGAAAGTATCATATAACTACGTGCAAAACTCGGCTTTCAGCATCCAGTATGCGGAGAATGGTCATTTCTGGAATCAAGAATGAGTCTCCTCTTGACATTGATCATCAGGCAAAACTCTCGCCTAATGTCAAAACGATGCTTGTCGCTGCCTTCAGCAGTTTGAGTCACTGCGTGAATTCTTCGGGGCTGCACAGACCAAACCAGCGGTCTAGCCGAAAGAATGCCCAATTTGCTGTACAGGTTCGTTGTGCAAAGAAAATTGGAAGCAAAGTTACATACCCTCGTCAAACATGGCACGTCCATACCTCAAAAAAATCTTAAGACATGTAAAGTAACATGTAGATGATTCTGCTCACAAGCATTCAGGAATTTGGGATGACTGTGCTATTATTGAAACAAAGGCACTAAGACTACGCGACGCTCAGTTCCAAGCATACTTCCAGCGACTGCGTCGCATCCATAAAAAAGAGCGCCAGCGACAATGAATGGATGGTCGGTTCCCACACATCTGAAGGATCCACAGCAGACTAATTGGTGCCTGCTTTCATCTCCTTCCCTGGCTGTTTGGCGGTCAGAAGCGTCGGCAAAGGAGCACCAGAGGCACTGCCGGAGGCACTGCCGGAGGCACTGCCGGAGGCACTGCGGGAAGCACCGGAGACACCCTGCGTGGTCAAGTTCTGCATCAAATTGTTTCAAGGTACTCTCGTAATGCAAATGGGAGGCCTGCAAAGCACCGGAAATCGTGTCACGGACAAAAGTGTTCATGGCATCGAAGCCCCCAGGCATTTGTTCAATGAGAGAATGAATCATCTGCCGATCTTCTTCAGCTGTTGCTTGAGCGCTGCGAGTGTCGAGCTGTGCGACCGTTTGGGCGACCGCCACTGCCACATCCGTGCCAGCTTTACCCTGCTGCAAGACACCAGTAGAAGTGCACAACAGCAAGCCTTGGAAGTGACCACTTTGGGAAAGCAAAATGGTCTGGTACACTTCAAACAGGCACCAGATCCTTTGCAGAGGCAAAACCAACTCATCAATGATCATGGTGGTGCCTTTGCATTCTGAAGATCTCAAGGCAAGATAAAAGGACGAATCCTGCCAGCGGCCATTCCCCAGTTCTCCCTTCACATGCCACTGGCTGTTACTGAAGGTGCAAATCCAGTATGCCGAATCGCGCCAGTCTTGTGGGTCACTCTGGGCGTGTTTTCGGATGGCATCACCAAAATGACGGAGCGGCATGCCCCAGTAGTGGCTCACGAACCACTGCATCTTGCTCGGACCCACAAGCTCCACAAAGGAGAGCTGGTATGGCTCGGTCAGCGGTTTCACAAGGTTTGTGCAAACATAGTACATGGATCGCTCCTTAATGAAGCTGTCGAAGAACCTTGGAAACACACTCACACGCTAAAATACAGAAGATATTGGGTCTGGCTTAAATGGAGCACAACACCCAAAACCACCCTCACACAATTCAACAATGTCCGATATTTTGGCTAGGTCATCTCAATCGTCCGCCCCCTGCCAAGTATGACCCAATGTGGCTTGCATGTCACGTGGTGGCGAAGCCCCAGCAAAAGTGGTTGAGAAACCGCAGTGAAGTCCCTTTTGAAGCCTTTTCAGTGAAGAAAAACACCCTTCGTTTCATCTCACCGCCGAAAAAAAGGGGGTTTTAAAAGGAACAAACCCGCTGGAACAGAAGAAAAACACTCACCTCACTCGCCTTTGCTCCCACCTCTTCTTTTTGAACCCTAAACCCTAAAACCCCCTAAAACCGCTGCTTCGGCGCTGCAAGAAGTCCGAAAGCTTCCCCGCCGTGATCGATCGATCTGGTCCTCGGTCGCAGCGCGCCAGGGGCAAGGGCCACTCCTTCAGAAACTGCCGCCGCCGCGTCGCCAGCGGCGTGCGTTCACCTTGCCTGGCTGCGTGGCAGGGCCGGTTTTCAGGCGGTGAACGAGACAGACCTCGAAACCGGGGAGGTGAATGGATGCAGTGAAAGAATCGAAGTGAAAAACATCGTCACACCCAAACAGGTCGAATCTTTCATCTGACCCTGCCAGGCTGTTCGGAGGCCCTCGATTTGAACACCTCCTCCCTGCCTGCGCCGCAGGGCAAAAGCGAGGGAGCCAACACAAAGACCCAATCCACATGCCACCAAGGCAAGAGACCAAGTCAGCTGGCTGGCGGTAGCTGCGGTAGCTGCCAGAAAAAGCAAGCTCCACCAGAGGAGCGGAATGCGCCATAGACCTGCTGAAAGAAAGACCTGTGGTAGCTTGAGATGCAGATGTCCTGTGGATGTGTCCAGTGGCATGGTGCTTTCACCATGAAGTGTCAATTGATACAAGCTCAAGGACTTCACTTTCCATGTGTGGGACGCAGACGACAAGTCAGGAACCCCTGTTCCCGTGAAGGTTACGACGGGGCAAGCTCGTTCCAAGAGAAAGTGTGCCATGGAGGTTGTTACCACAAGCTTTTGACCCTGAGCAGACACATCCGAAATGGGAATTCGACCAGAGAAGCCGGTGAGGAGAAGGAAGTAAAAGCACGCTGAGACGAGCCAGCACACGAGCGCAAAGACAATGTCCATGGCACGCACTTGGCAGCTTTGCTTCTTGGCATCAGGGTTAGCTCGAATGAGAAAGCTCCGACAGCTTTGGCAGGCAGCACTGTTTGGACTAGACACATGATCTACTGGGCAGGTTTGACAAGCACTGCTCCCTTCGCCCGCAAAGGTTCCGCCTGGACAAGGTTCGCAAGTGAGGGAGGATCTGGCAAAACGACCAGCTTCGCATTGGCTGCATGTTCCAGTTCCACCAGTTGAGATCGTCCCCAAAGGACAAACACTGCAAAGCTGATGGTTGGCTTCGTATGTCCCTGCTGGACAAACATCACATGCGACAGCAGATGCTGTGGAGACCGTTCCTGGCGAGCAAGTCGAACAGTTGCTGCTTCCTCCTAAAGAAAATGTCCCAGGCAAACAGCGTTGGCACTCGCTGCTCCCTGATCTGGACCAGGTTCCAGCAGGGCATAGCTCGCATGTCAGGAAATCTCTTGCAAAGCGGCCAGCTTCACACTGGCTGCAAGTCCCACTTCCTCCATTTGAGATGGTGCCTGACGGACAAACACTGCAGACTTGACTGTCAACTTCGTACGTGCCTGCTGGACATGCATCACAGGCCGAAGCACCAGATTCTTTTGAAACTGTTCCTGGACTGCACTTTAAACATTTGCTGCTGCCTGCTAAAGAAAATGTTCCTGGAAAGCAAATCTTGCAAACCCCGCCCTCTGGTGAGAAGGACCCCGCAGTACAAAGGCGACACCGTCCATCCTCCTCTTGAGTGCCTGCCGGGCAAACCCCCGTCCCGCAAGTGCTGCGGCCCTCGTCATCACTTCCGTAGAAATGGACCTCGTGGCAACTACATGAGCCGTTGCCCGTCACCATGGAGGCAGCTGTGGACTCCAATGGCAAGGCCTTTGCCGTCGCATCATCGAAGCACTTACCTCGGCCATAACAAACCAAGCCACCCTCACCTGGACATGTCTGGCAGTCGTGCATCTCACCTTCTTTCACTTGCACACTGTAGAAATTGGCTTCACAGCCTGAGCAATCACTTAGCTCACGCCCTGCAATGCAGCTGCAGTGTGTTCGCCGAGGCAAACACATACCCTTCTTGTAGCACGGGTCAACAGGAACACAAAAGCCAGCACTCCAGAACACGGCCCCCTTGTTGTTTTGATGGGAAACCAGGAGTTTCAAGCGACCATCAGAAACGTTGCCCACATCGAAGAAACTGATTTTGCCAAGTCCCTCCATGGGGCCTCCTGGCTTGTTGTGGAAACGGCTCAGGTTGGTGCCTAAGCACTGAAAATCATCGTCACATCGCAGTTCATGAAGATGCCCGTGCTCACATGCTTGTAGCTGATGATCCGCACTTTCAGACCGGAGTCGCAGGAGGTCAAGGTCACCGTCTTCATCACAATCCACAAACTTCCAGCTGATGTCCCTATCTGAGTAGCCAGTTGCCAACTGCATCACACTATAGACAGGGCTTTGCTCCACAGGCCACTCACGAAGAGTACCGTCTGTCAGCTGCTCGAAGTAGCGGCCATCAGGGGGGCCTAGAAACAAATCATAGTCACCATCCTGGTCCCAGTCTACTACCAAGGGTTGAATTTCGTAGAAGCTATTGCCGCGGCTCCAATACTTTACTGTGATTTCACTGAAGGGATGATGTGGAAGCTCTTTCTGCAAAGTACCAGAAACCATCTCGTGGTAATGCAGCTTGCCATCCGCTTCCGACGAGATAAGGAGATCCAAGTCTCCATCTTGGTCCCAATCAACCATTGTGGCCCTGACACCCTTGTTACGTCCCTGCAAACTCTCTGTGACATTCTCAAAGAAACCTTCTGCCTCTCTCACAGTTTGTCCCAAATACTCGTGCAAATGCAAATGCTTAGCCCGTATCCCACCAAAGTCCGAGGTCCATCGCAACACCACAACGTCTTCAAAGCCATCCTGATTCCAGTCGACGACGATGGGCTCACGGTACTGGAGTTGGATGTCTTCATAAGTGTCGATTTGAGTATTTCGCTTTATGTCCAGGTCCAGAACATGTTGAAAGTGTCTCACAACCTCCCAGGTCGCTCGAACAGACCAGAAATGTAGCACTAGAAAATCTGGAAGACCATCTGAATTCCAGTCCGTCACAAACACTCGAAATTGATATCCTTCCCCTTGCGCGATCGTAATGCCGGCAAAAGGATTCTCGGGCATTGGGACCAAACTACCATCTCCAGAACGGCGGACGCAGCCCAAACGAGTCTTACTGTAATGTGCCCCACTTTCCAGCCACCCTGTGGTCAGCATCTCAGGCCGTCCATCGCCATCTACGTCAGCAATCCAATGGACCCCACCCAATCTCTTCAAGGGATTCTCGTCCTCAGTGCGTTCCACCAACTCGCCAGACACGTGCTCAAAGTACCTTGAGAAGCGGAAATGCCGCTGGTTTCCATCTGGAAAATCTGCAAAAAGCAAGTCAGCGTCTCCATCCTCGTCAAAATCCACTCCCAGCATCTCGCAGGAGGATCCCTTTGTCACCAAAATCACCTACAGCAGACAAAAACAGTGGACGACGTGGGCCATTTCTGCGGAGTCAACCAGCGCATCAACCCGGTCATCCAATATTGGGAACTTGGGAACCTCAAGTTCATTCATTGACTCAAAAGGCTGAATGTCTTTCCCCTTGTATAACAAAGTACCTAGTATAGGTCCCCCAAAAGAAGAACCAGCTGCTCGACTTTCGCACCTGAAGCTCAGACACGTTCGCCAGAACCAGGTGGCCAGGCAGAAGAAGGGAGTGGTTTAGAATGCGCACAGTCACCTCATCTCCCAACAATGTGCAGAGTAAGAGGTCAAGCTTGTGATCACCTGAGCGCGCGATTGTGAACCGTTCATCACTTCAAAGACTACCCTGGCAGGCAGATCACAAAGAACCTACAAAAAATCCAAAATGGGTAGACCTATGGCTCAAAAATAGCGTGCCATCCAAGGTCCCTGGTAAATAGACCAAAGATTTTTGCCTGCAGATGCCTGCAGAAAAAGAACATCTAGGACCTTTCGAGCTTCGAGCTGAAAAAGTGGTCGAACATCGAATCGAAGAACCGAACCTGACTCCCAAAGCCAAGACTCGACTGTCCGCTTTTTAAAGCCGCACGTCCTATCTCGGAGATTCACCAAGGGATCTCGAGAACAAGGTTTGGAAGGCCAATCGCGCCAAGGACTAGAGACTAAAGGTCTCACTTTAAGGTGCAGTTCTTTCATTGGGTTGCTACAAGGACTCTTCTGAAGGTAGAAAATTGGTAAATGCCAAAACTGATGTTCCTTCCTGGTGGTTCTCACGTCTTTTCTTATAAGTGAATGTAACCGGAACCAGCAAAAACATACAAAAACATGCAAAAACGGTCCATTCAGATCAAGTCACCGTCCCAATCGACCACTTCGATTCGACCTTTGGATTGCACATCCCATTGCGGAGCATCAAAGAGAGTCTCTCCGAATCTCACCAACTCGTGCTTCCGAAACGAAGGTCGGGCCTCCTGAAGTCCGGCCGCCCGCTCGTGGAACCAAATGGAGTTGCCCTCACCCACCAGCAGGTCAAGGTCGCCATCAGTGTCCCAGTCTGCGAACCTCACGGTACAACCTTCGGCTTGGAGGTTGAGCTTGGCCTGCAGGGGGGGGATGTGAGGATGTGAAGCAAAAAAAAGATCTGGTTCGTTTCAGTTCAATGAAATGTGGATGAGCCAAACTTTGAATGTCGGTTGGGAGAAAGCCGGATTGACTGAAAAAAACTAAAATCCTTTAAACGTTACTACACTTGGCCTGCTCTTCAAGTCGGTGTTCTTGCCCCACACAGCTCCCATTGTATGACTGGCACCAGCCGTGGCTCGCCCTTGGAAGCCCAATGAGCAGGAAGATGAGCCACATGGCACAAGGGATTTCGTGCAGCAACTGCTGCTGCCGATACTGGTCGGCCGACCGGGCTAGAAACAATGATGCTGGAAAGGCGACGTTTGAGCTCTGAACCCGTGCTGCTTCTTGTGAACATACAACTTTCTGGACATGCCAGTACCTGCATCCTGCATGTCTTTCTTGCTAGACCTTCTGTTCGAGCCAGATCTCAGATCATGAACGTCTCCAGCAAGAGATGTAGATCTCAAACGCTGCCAACATCTTTGATGGCCGTTCCCTGGTCCTCCAATCGATTCCTAGTTCACATCACTGGCATAGGGAGAGATCCAATTACAACAGCAGCACCAGTAGCAGGGGTGGGGGTTGCTGATGTGAGGACTTGATCGGGTTCCTGTTTCTAAACTTGCTCGCGGCAACAGCACTCACCGGTTTGGGTCCCTGCCTGGACCTTGCAGCCATGCCAAGAGAAGATCGCTGTGCGCGTGCCCCCCAGCAGAGGGTAGTCCTCTCCCAGCGAAATCTTGATTCGTGGGCCGTGGGCTGTGGGTGGATCATATGGAGTGGACTTGGACTCATGGATGCAACAACTGTTGCCCCAATAGAGACATTTGCAGAGTCATTGTAAGTCACGAAAAGAACATGCACCACTTTGTCATGCCAGTTTCACCTTCTTTCCCAGTTTGTGTATTACTTTGGAGCAAATGTTGGGGAACCTCCGTCCCATGAGTCACTGATTCGTTGTGGAGTGACCTGGTCACCAAAGCAAGGTGTCACTGATCCATTCGGTCTCTCCGGGTCTTGCTGTAACAGCTCGGAATCCGCCGATGAAAAAAATCGACACTTAAGCAGTCCCTGGGAAGATGAAGGTCTTCGGCCAGTGTTTCCTTGTTCTCCCAAAAAAAGACACTGCGCTTTGGAAGAAAGAACGGTTCTGAATTTAAGGAGATGCAGAAAGCTCTTCTTCCGAGAGTCGCGTCGAAAATAGCACTCCCCGAGAACTCCAAGTTCGGAATACGTTGTCAATAAGTTTGCTTTAAATGGCAACAGTTCGTCAAACACTGGATGCATACCAGCACCCGGACTCTACATGGTCACCAGAGTCACCATCACCATTTCGGAGACCTGCAGCGTATTCCTATGCGTTCTAGGCAAATCCCATTGCCAGGGCCCAGTGGATGATGGGGCCTGGTTGCAGGCCAGGCCCAGAACATCGTGATGTTCTTGTGACACCCAGCGACTCCAAAGGTTTACTGTCAGACCCAAAGGGTTACTGTCGGATTGGCTTCTCCAAGCCCTGTGGGCTCCATCAGACCGGCAGGTCAGACCTGGGCGCCGACCGGGGGCCATCTCCTCGTCGCCCTCCGGGAACGACGCGCGTCACGAGGCAAGTGAGGCGCTCCTGCTGAGGCACCAGCTCAGCACCGAAGATCTCGGCACTGGCCTCGGCCTCGGAAGAAGAGAGGAAGGGTGGGAATCGACCTGGCAAGGGAAGGTGAACATGGGGGAAACAGATTATGATAAAAGGTCCCTAGCTATATGTGCTGCTTGGATGAGAGACACTCAAGTGGCAGAGCAAATCAGTGTTTGTACTGCTTTGTTTTGATGGGGCAGGGATAGCAAGGATGGAAGTGGGGATGGTAGAGAAAGTCGGAATCCCCACAAAAAATGCTCGGTCTCTACATCTCTCTTCGTAGGGAAATAGGCCCGGACTACAGGCTTGGCTCAGTATACTGGAACCACTGACACTGGTTGATGCTACGGTACTTGTCAACAACATTCAACAACCAAATACTCCCTTTCGATGCCTAATTTAGACAAACACCTCTTGCATAAGGAGGGCTATAGGAGGCTAGTTGAGTTGACTGTACCAATCGGGAGTGCTTTCAAGCTCTATTGCTTCTGTACGCCCCAACGCTCACCTGGACCGTCCGGGCCGACCGGTCCCTCCTCAGCGTCCGGGCCGGTTGCCCCGGACGAGAGGTGGGGAACTGCTGCGGAAGCAACTTCACCTCGCGGGCACCGGCGCCGTTGGCGGAACGGGCACCGGACCGCGGTGGGTGGACCGGAAGGCGGGTTGGAAGGTGGGTAGGTTGGAAGCGCCGCCGGTTTCTCCGTTCGGCGCCCCGTCGGTTAGACCCCCCAAAGAATGGGCGCTTCACGGGGCGTCCGGTCCGGAGGACCGGCGCGACACGCGAAACGCGCGCGTACGTCGACACTGTCAGGGTGTGGGTGTGTCCAATGAGACTCTTCACAAGCCCAAGACCGGCACGCGCGCGTGCTTGTCGTCATCCACAATGAGTCGCAGTTCACAGCCAGGCGAGATCACCTGGCCGTCGTGCAGCAGTCTGCCGAAGCGGCGACTCCTCGTTCGACCACGACTCGAACTCGACTCGCTGCCGTTCGAAAGACCTGGAGAGATCCTTCCCAGCATGGACTCCACCAGCTGAGGAGGTCCACCCATCAATCGAAATCCCCTTCCCATCCATCGACTCCGCGCAAGCAATGAGCTCGGTCGTCGGGGTCGTCGGGGTCGGGTCCCTGGGTTCGGAGCGAAGACGTGGCCACCGTACTTCGCTCGTTTCAAGAGGTGGCTTGGACCGAAGCATTCGGATCCTTTGGATTGGAGGGCTGATGGCTTGGCATACCTTGGCATGGGAAGAAGAACAAGAATCATCCACCTTCCATGGGCTTGGAAGAACCATCCCCCTTTGAGTCTTGGAGCCTCGTTTTCTGATGGGCCTCTCTGGCCCATCGCTCTAAGATGGCGCCATGCCATGGAACCATGGAGGGTCCAACCGCCGTCCCCTACCAACTCCAACAGCGCCTTCACTCGCGGCACGCTAGGGTCCATGGCCATCAACTGCTCCTGCCCCGTCGAACCAAAGGCCTCGCTGCGCTCAGCTGCGGTGGACTTCGGTGCTGGACTTCGACCGCAGAGACCGGACAGGAAGGGCTTCCACCCGCTCACTGAAGATCACCGAACGAGCTCGTCAGGTAATTCACCATCCCAGACGATCCATCTAAATCATTAATCTACAGTAAGCAAAAGATGGACTGCATTTGGTGGTGTTTGGTGCTACATGTAGGTCATATTTGCGTAATTATGACATCCACCGCAGCAGGTCCAAATTCTATGAATGCTGCTGACACAAGACTCACTGAGAGTCACATAAACCAACCCTGACAAAAGGACACTCCGGAAGCCATACAGTCTGAAGGCAAACCTGCGGCCTCTTCCGGCCATTGAGATTCCTTTGATCCAACCTCCTTAAGAGATGGGGCAAAGGCTGGGTGAACGCACCAAATCGCCCCAAACAGGGAACCTTCTGGTCCTGAACATCTGGTGGAATCTTCCATTTCTCGTTGTGGCTGCGATAAACATGTTACTTGGATGCCCAACAGCCGATCTCGCACCAAACACCGCCCCAAGTCTCGCTCCCCAACCGCCCTTTCCACTCGCCTGCGGCATCCCCAACGTGCTGAGCGCCATGGCGAGAACGACGTCCCAAAACGCGGCCAACGCCGGAGCGTTCAGAGAGGCGGAGCTTCGGTGAAGCGGGAAGCTCAGAAATCAGACGGCTAAGTGGTGAAGAGTTGGTGCTTTCGAGGCTGTTTTGTAAACGGAAAACCATGGGAACTGGCCGTCCAGATTCTTGTAAGAGCATATTCCGGGATTCGACCAAAAAAGTGCCAGGCTCTGAGGGAGCAGCTACAGTGGTGAGCTGGTTTCCTTGGACCTTCTACCCCTGCTGGGGGCTGAACTCTAGCTGGAAACCCCACAACCTTCGTTCCAGCTATCGGCTGCAACGTTCCGCGTCTGGACGTCCCATCCTGTCACAGAAGGATTTAGCTCCATGTGATCCAATCAGGGAAGGGATCCCCGTGGGTTGTTCCATGAAAGCGAAAGAGAATGCGGCTTTCAACTGCTCCAACTCTACTCATCAACTGAATCGGATTGAAGAAGCACCGAAGATCTGTCTGTGTCTCGGCCCGGCGGCCTCGCTGTCAAACTGATTCGGAACAAGTTAGGTGGGCTGCCCTTGACGATCTCATGTTGCTGAGTGCTGTTGTCTCCGCGTATATACTAACTACAACTACTAGCCTGTGGAGAGCCACAGAGAGCAGCAAGCCTCACATCTGACATTGAGCTACCCCATCAGAAGTGAGGCACATCATGGCAAGCTGAGGGACACCACCGGCAGATGAAATTGCTCAAGCACTGCTCAGAATGGTGACATATAGCATCCTATGTTCGGCCACTTCTCAATTAAAAAAAGAACATACAAGTTGCCAGACCAGCAGACATTGATAGCTGTTAAGGGCAATGCCTCCAAAAGAAAAAAAAAAAAGCTCCATCGTTTTCCATCCAATCACCCATCACTCACCAGCGCATGGCCGTCCGTCTTCACCACCGGCACCATCACCGGACCGGAGTCCGGTCGTCCGGGGCGCCCGGGGTCCGGTGGTGGCCGAGATCGAACGCAGCGCAGGGGGACCGGAAAGGCTGTCCGGGTGGGTGGACGTGGCAGCTGGCTAGGTGAACTTCGCAGCAGCACGGAGCTGGATCATGAAGGAGGGGATGAAGACGAAGTAGACCTTGGAAAGAACGCGGAGATGTATGTGGACATCCAGCTGGAGCAGAAAGAAGTTTGCAGGGAGAAGAATTGCAACTCCTGGTGTATTCTGTCTTGAAGCTGGCTGCAGGGAGGAAACCACATCTTTGGGGGGATGTGGCTTTTCGTGTTCCGGATCCTTTCTTTGGGCTCTTTTAAACTCGCGAAACAGTGGGATGATGTGGGATGGATACCTGCATTACCTGCACTGAACTCACGTCAGTCCCAAAGGTCCGTTCTCCGGTCGTGTCTTCACATCCTCCATGTCGATACACTGGAAACCCTGTCCCCTGCCAAACCCTCAATCGATCGGCATGGTTCAGCTTGCTGACGAAGGGCTTGGTGTGGTGGGACGCTGGTGGACGACAAAACCCAACTGGTAGGTCGACTGAGGAGTTATATACTGACTTGGAGCGCAGATGGAGTATATCACATCACCTTCAGGAGTGCTAAGCTTTTTGATATTGGATACTTTGTGGCTCGACTCCCAAACAAGACCCCTAAAGTTAAATCCCCCGTTAAAACCAGACCGCCCTGGTCACGCCCGCTGCCGCGTCAAGCAAAAGCGGCCGAAATGAAGCCGATGAACTCGATGATGGCCAGGAGCCCCTGGCAAGTTCACGCAAACGCATAGGTCCTAGATATTCAACCTCAATACTAGTTCCTTTCAAGATGCAGGTTTTGGGGGGTTGAAAACTCAAAAGAAAATCATGCTCTTCATAAACAGGTCTGTGGATTCCTCTTTTCAGATCTCATGTTTTTTGTCCAGAACTCAGAGCCTACATGATCTTCAGGTCATGGCAGGTCCTTCTCTAGCCTCTATAGCAGCCATATGAAGCTATATGAAGCGATCGATGCTGGTGTCCACCCCGCGCAGGTCCGGCCTTCGGCTCAACCGGCCCGACCGAGTGGTTTCTCAGTCCACCCCGACGACCTGCTTCGATGCTTCAGACCGTCTCAACGGCTTCAAGCGACGCCGGCCACACGGTGCAGACCAAGGTGAAGTTCAGCACATCCTGGCCGAGTCGGGTCCGGGTTCGAGTCCGTTGGGTAGTCCGTGGGGTTCTGAAACGCCTCAGGTCAAACGTTAGCCCTCTGAAGTCTGTCCGTTCGGTGTCTGGCGAAAGCTGGGTAGATTGGCGTGCAGGGGAGATCCGTCTTGACACTCCACGAAGAAATCGTGTCCCCCACAGGTGAAGCATGGTGAAACATCCTTGTCAAAGACCCAAGGCACCGCCATGCAGAGGCATCTATATCTGAGCCAATCTTCCTGGGGCCCTAGCAGCTGCGCACTCCGTGCTCTGCATCGCCTGAGGGCTGCCACTGAGCCACTTCTCCACGTGATAGAAAATTGTAAAGTTTGAAGATAGATGCTGTCCATCTCACTTTCAAGTTCGGACTGCAGGCAATGAGGGAATGATAGATGGAAAACTTGTGGGATCACGATGTTCCCTCCGTTTGAATTCGGACAACCAGCTGGTGTCATTACAGACATGTCACTGATCGGTTCGGATTCTTCGATGGGTGTCCAGAGCAAACCAAGCCATTTATATAGGATTATATAGGATTCTACTGCAGTGGGAGCTGTGGCGAAGCTCTGGGGAACACCCAGGGCGGCCCTAAGCTTGGAAAAACTTTTGGAGATATCCATCACATCCACTCATGTAAGACTTCCAGTTCCTGCCATCTTCCTCATGCAACAAGTTGAACCAACTGACCAGCACTTGTCAAACGAATGTTTCTCAAGGCCTCTTTAGGCAGTTCCAAATCTAGGAGTTCCCCGTCCTGAGGAATCCAAGAAGGAAGCAGAAGGGATCCACCCAGGAGCATTTGTGTGTGTGAATCCGGTGTGACTATGAATGGCGTCTTCGCGGGGGGGTCTCTTTAGATGGCCCAGAAGAGTTCTTCTGTGCCTCATAGTTCGTCCATACTTATCCATACTTATCCTACTCAGCTTCCAGGGCCAACTGGCTGTGGAACTCACACTGAGAGCATGGCCAACCAGCAAAGGTAGCCGCCCCAAACCATCGTCCCACCCTGCAGGAGGAAGACTGCCTGGATGGAGATCACTGGAGATGGTGGGGCTCCAATAACCCCAAAAAATGAAATGGGTTCCAACGATCAAAGGCCTGCCTTGATTTGTTCTGGAAGGCTTCTGGATTCGAGGCTTTTCATTCTGTTCCAACTCTCTGTTCTTACTTCTTGCTGCCCTCCAGAATCTGTCCAGTTCCGATTCGGACCTCTCCACTTTTTTTTGGCCCTAGCAAGGTCTCCTATCCCATCTCAGCTGCAGGAGTTATTCAACGAGTTGTGACATCTGATGACTCAGGATGCCCCTCCCGGCCATGAAGAGGGCCCCGAACAGCACGGGACTGTCCGACGCTCACTTAAAATTACAAGGACGAGTTGGAGAGGATGCTCGACACTCGTTCTCCAGGGTTGATATGATGCACTATTGCAAGATCTACTATATATTATATTATATTATATGGAGTAAGAATAACTGTATACATCTGTATACATTGGTATGACCTTTTCGGCATTTCCAAGCACACCCCCATCGCTGGGTCTCGTCCCTCATTCCGCGTCGGCTAAAGAGACCACGCGCGAGGTCAAGATCTGAGTGGCAAAGGTCAGGAAGCCGTATAGCATCCAAATCCTCGCCAAGGTCGTCTGATTCGTCCGATTCGTTTCGGGCGATTTCATGTCAATTTCAGATTGAGAAACACATCTGGGAGGGAAAAGGACAGTGCTGGTAGCCACGCTCTTTGCATGGGCCAGGACCGATCCTGTTCCTTCAAACCAGTGACAAAGCCCGGATGTACTCTCTACCCATCGATCTCATGGCCTGCATACGCTCACCACGCACCTGCGTATCTCACCTCGTGTGTTCGCGCTTGGCCAACGTGGAGAAGCTCCTGTCGCTGCCATATTCCATCCACGACATGCGTGCGTAAAGGACAGCACTCACAGAGGCGACCACACCTGAGGCATGCGCGTTACGAATCGCAATGAGTGATCCCCCTGCAGGTATGGCTAGATTTCCCATGGGATCTTACTAAGTGGATCAACCTGACCACTCAAATGTCCTTTCCTTTGACATACCTGCTCTGCCAACCAGTAAAGCTGTCTCCAACCCAAACCGTCCGTTGTGTCGCTTCGCTCGAAAACGGTGGTTCTTCCCCACGTCGCCCCGACGCGTGGCCAGGCCGCCGAACCTACAAAGGCCAGGAACCACCAGAGGGGGATCTCCTTGGGACGTCGAGTTGGCCGAAAAAGGTCACGAGAGAGAGAGAGAGAGAGACAGACAAAGTAACACCCGTCCAAAGCCCGAATGGTAGGGTGGCACATCTAGACTCTTAACATCATAAACTCTTAACATCATAAAACAACATCATAGAACCCCCTCCATATGAAGAGTATATACAATCCAAAATGATTCATCAAGATTCTACATGATGGATGTACCAGGTGCCAACAAAGGAACAACAACGAGGTCTCCCACCCGAAGAAAGAATGGACCTGCTCAAGGTCCTACTGCTTCGGTGCTTCATCAAGTGCTTTGTATACATCGTGCTGCATGATGATATGGGGATGGGTCCAAACCTGAAGCTCCCAGGTAGCTCGTGCCCTTTTTCGGTCTCCTGGTGCCATCCACAGCCATCTGATCGGCAACGTCGAACTTCACCAACTTCACCCCAGTGGATTCTTTTGGTCTTTAGGTCTCCCCGTCTCCACTCAGTCACCACTGGACATCGGCCCCGACATGCAAACCCACCGACTGAAGAATCAGCATGTAGAGTTGAAGGAAGAAATCCGAAAAAAACAAGCCTCAAAAGCTAGTATCCACTAGTGGACTATACCGCAGTTGTGGTGTTTTTGGTATGCCACGGGGGGTGGGCTGTCTTCCTGTTTCTTCCATAGCAGAACCTGCTTTCTGTCTAGAAATAATATGACATGTGACTCATGTAACAGGTGACATCCTGTGCTCTAACTATGACAATCCAACCAACCCTAAACGAACCAAAAATCCACCACTGCTCACTAAGCCGCTGCTTTCCAACCAAAAAAAACTATTGCGGAAGGACCGGAAGGAGCACCAACACCGGCCCAAACGGGCCCAAGGGTCGTCACCCCAAATGGTCGTCCAAGTCTCACAGGTTTGCTGCAACAGGCTGGCGAAGATCACCTGCGGTCGCGAGCGCAGGACCGAACACCGACGCCCCCCGCGGCCGGACCGAACCGGAACCAGGCCGCAAGTCGGACGGACCATTCCGTCGCAGCGGCGTCCGCGTCGGCGTCCCCCACAAAGAAGGAAATAGCACCCAGGGGCGACCCGGCCCTGGACCCAGGTCGCCCACCCGAAGCAACTGCTACATGTTGAAGGTTCCAAAACCCTCACAGAACGGGTTGGGTCCTTTCTTGTCGCCTCCGGGGAAGGACCTGGAAAAGACGGCTGCCGGATCTCCCACCAAGACGAATCAGCGTTGTGCACGAAGAGGACCAAACCGTCAGAGGACAATTCCGCCTCAATTGAGACTCCATGCTGAAGTCGATGATCTATTGGAACATGTCCTTGCCACCTGTCCGCCCGAACCCTTTTTGACAGACTTCACCCCGTGTCCTTGTCCGCCTGGTATGACCTGGTTGCCCGTTCTTGCCCGTTCACCCATCCGGCCGGATCTGACGTCCCAGTCCAGTCCCTGCCAACCGAGTCTCTCCCAAGGAACTGACGAAGAAGAGGAAGAAGTCCAGGAACATTGAAATGACGCACCTGTCCGAGTTCAAGCCAGCCACCCAGCTCAACTTAAGCCCCCACGCCCCACGACTCGTGGAAAAAGGGGGGGGCATGCCACCTCAGGTTTGCCCTTGTTGGCCTGGGGGTCTCAAGTGAGCCTGAGGCTCGCCATATGTTTGAAGTGTTCCGATCTACTTCATGATATTAACAAAAAAACAATGAAACTACATCTGAGACCGCGCGAAACCACAAAACCTCAATGCTGTGATACTCATCTCATCCAAACACCAGTGTGGCTCGAATTCCAAAAACGGTTGGTGAAAGTGCACCAGCACCACTGACTGCTTACTAAAAAGCATGGAGTTCCATGTATCCAAAACTCATTTGGAACTCCATGTCACCGAGTGGAGTGGTTTGGTCTTCGAAGGTCTTCGACCACAGTCACGGGTTCTATGGGTTCTAGGAGTCCTATGGTGGGCTAGTTCGGAGGGAAGCTTGGCAGCAGCTTCTGAAGTTGAGGTGACCAGAGTGACAAGAGGTTCAGAACACCATGGGTGAGATTCGGAACATGGTCAGGAGAGTGCATCTACTATCTATACTATCAACTGGATTCAAAAGACGGTACGGTCCTGTACGGTCCTACGGTCGTTCCCGCTGTTCCAGCTGCTCTGAACCTACAGAGGGTAGGAGTCGCCTTTGTTTCATAGAAGCTTGATCCAAGTCACAATGCCACGCTGGGGTTGTCCAGCAGGGGCGCAGGCCTTAGTCCGGATAGCTTGTGCCAAACTAGATGAGCAGGACATACATGACCACAGAAAGGGGTGCGACATTACCCAAACTTGAACCCTCTCCCGCTTCCAACAGGCCACAGCAGGTAATACTTGACTTTACCAGTATCCTTAAAAATGGTTTCACCGGAAAGGATACTGGAATGTCGCGTAAGAAAGAATGGAATCTCGGAGCGAAATGGATCTAAGTCCTCAATCACTGCTTGCCGCAAGCTTGCCAGTGGTTCTCATCGAATGTTGCAGTTCCTTCGAGATTCACACAGTGTGTGATGTTAAGTGCTACCGTCTCGGTCGAGGTGTCATCCGACCAGGCTCTCTCGCTCGGGCGCAAGCTGAGCGACACGCCGCGACATGGTACGTGGAAAAGAAGGCACCATCCAAACAGGGTGGTGTTTTGGTCGTCGTGGTGACTCAAGTGGAAAAACCCACCATCGGGAATTGTGGAAAGGTGGTGTTCTATGCTAGGGTCCAATACCATGCAATTCCATGTGATGGGTGGTTTCTTTTTTATGCGGAGGCCGTTCGCTGTTGGAGCAAAAAAAACATTAACCTCTGGGAGGTGAGAAGATTCATCGAAGCCTGGTGGGTTCGGGAGCAAAAATTTTGGAACCTTAGGTGTTTTAAATGGGGGTTTGCATGATCATACCGAAGCGTACCCTACCAAACATGAGCCATTTGATGGCTCTTCGAAGACCTAAAACCTCGTTGCCACTAGCAAAACACCCACTGATGTTGAGACTTTGAGATGGGTGAACTCCGCAGCTCTTTCGTCCACAGTGCGCCAGGACCACGAGTCACGACATGAACAAAGCTCACTGTACAGCTCGTCTTCAGAGGAGAGCTTTGAACACAAAGGCTTCTGATTTCACTGGCAAGTTTAGTATCCTTTGGCCAGTGTTCGTTCAGGTTCTCTGTGAGAAGCTTTGATCTGGTGCTGAGCCGTCTAGTGCTTTCCATGCCTCTCAAGCTGTTGACAAAACCTGAAGTGTTTCTCGTCACTGATGGTCATGTTGCTCTTTGACAATCTAATCTGCTGAATCAACCAGAGTCAACAAATTCCTGAAATGATTCAGTCTTCCTCCTACGGTACAGTCCTCTTAGGCCACCCAGCTCAGGGCCATTCCGAACAATGCCTCTCACCGGTCAGCTCAACCCCGCCAGAGGCTCGCTCGCTCCTCATTCCTCAAAGCTGGGTGCCTGGTTCACCAGCGGCAGCACCGGCACGCCGCCCCGCATGGCGCTCTCCAACCACCAAATCCCCAAGCGCATCCTTGGAGCGGAGCAAAGCCGAGCGGCGCTGGACCGCATGGACTGCATGGACTGCGTGGCTTCGAAGCAAGTGAAATCAGAGTTTCGACGTTTCGGAACGCCTTTTCTCCCTTGAGCCAAAACACGTCAAGAGTCACGTGTCTGCAGTACCCTAGCGGAGTATATATGGGCTGTACATACAAACACTCCTCCTCTTGCAAAGCACTGTACAGCTGCGCAAGCTTAAAAGGAAACATGTGAAACTCTTCGCTGCTTAGCCACTTCCAGTTGTGGTAGTGGAGCTTGGCCAGGGACCTTACTCCAAAACATCTAACTGTCCTTTGCTTCGCCTGCTGAGGAATGCATATTGCAGGTCCTCCATGGTTTTGCGAAGCTGCACCCCAGGAACCGATTTGGTCAACACATCGGCTTTGTTCTTGACACCTGGAACGTGGTGCACTTTCAAGTGGCCTTCGGCGACCCTTTCTTGCAACCATAGGTAGCGAGTTTGGATGTGTCTGGCTTTACCCAAACCCACTCGGTTCACAGTTCCTTTGGCTGCATTGGAATCGCCCTCGATGGTGACTCCTAGATCCAAACCAAGGTCTGCGCATAGGCTTTGGAGGCCTAAGCCCACAGATCCTCCCTTCACAAGTGCGTAGTACTCACTCTCACCTGTAGAAAGGGCTACAGTGGATTGGATGTTACTGCTGTGTTTCAACACGTGCATGCCGTACATAGCAACCATGCCAGTCGTGCTTTTGCGCGTCACAGCGTCACCACCATGGTCGGCATCGACTTGCACCCTTAGCCTTGAGGGTGTCTGTTGCGAGCCAAAACATTGCCCAACATCAGGATATTTCTTCAAGTACCTGATGAGACGCTTCAAGTCAGCAAGTTTGGCTTCTGTTGGTGATACCATACCTCGAGCAAGGTTCTTGACTGCGTGCCCAGTATCAAGTCGATCTTGGGACAAGTACGCAGCACGCATCGTTGCTGAACGATACTTTGATGCCTCGCTCTTATCAAGCAGCGGACTGCGGCTTTCCAGCATCTGCTGATCTGCCGACTTCTTGACATCTGGTGATTCTACACCATTTGCCTTCTCCAGACCGAATGCCTGGATCAAAAGATCAACATGTCTCCGATCGGCTTCGATCACAATTGATCCTTTGCCGTTCTTCTTTTCGACTCGGATTAACCGATTCAGAAAATGAGCTTCTGTTCGGTCTCCATCCTCGTCTCCAAGAATTCCGAGACATTTCAGCTCATAGGCATCTTTGAGGACTTGGCTGAGCTTCTCCAAGTGTTGGGCGTCTCCCAGTGCTAGGAAGTCATCTCCATGCACCATCACTCTGACGTCCCAAGCTTCTTGGTAGAAGACTGACGCATTTGACAAGCCTCTGCGGAAACCAGCCTTCTGCAGAGTCTCTGTGTAGTGCGTCTGCCAGATGTTTGGAGCGTCCTGTGTTCCATACATCGACTTCACGAGAAGTCCACAGGTTTGTCCATCTTTGCTGGCTTCGTCCTCAGGCGGCAGCTCTATGTAGATCTTTCTCTTCGGAGTTCCATAAAAGTGTGCTCGTGAGATGTCCCACAAGCCCAGCTTCAGAGGCTGGTTGTGGCAGGACTTTCTCTTTGTTGCCCACAACGAGCACAGCAGTCTCATCGCCTCCAATGGGGGCGTGCTGCTGAAAAGCAAGTTGGCTGGCAATTGTTCTTCTTTGGTCTTTCTTGCCTTTATCTCACGCACAACTAATCGGCTCCTATAGTTTGGGTTTGTTGGATCTCCCTTGTTGGTGTCCAACCATCTGACTGGAATCGGGGGCTTCCCCGTTTCCTCAAAACATTCGGCTCTCGGCCGGGGCACATAAACACCATGTTTTTCTTGCAAATAATCCATCTCAAGGCGTCTTGCCTCCTTCACTTTCTCGGCTGGCAAAATGCCGCCGTTCACATCATCCATGTAGACTTCTTCGAACTCAGGGTCCATCAGAGGCATCTCTGGAACTGGGCCTGCTGCAAACAGATCGAAGGTGTTCAACTCACCTTTCTCTGCTAGCGTGTCACGCAGGTTCCTCAGCACTGCTTTCACGAGCTGCGGTGGGTATACCGCTGCCTGCCTAGCGATGCCTCCGATCAGATGGATGTGTCGGTGCCATGGTCCTTTGCCCGATTCATTCGAGCAGACTCCTTGCAAGACTCGGGCCAACCCTTCATCGTTGGTCATCCAACCGGTCTCCTTTCTCACATAGCCGGTGCCTTGGAGTCCTCTTCGGTCGGTGGCCATCATCTGCCACCTGCACATTGGACCCTTCACTATGAACACTCCATCTTCCTTTGCTAAGGCCGCAACTTTCTCATCCTTCCAACTAGTTGCGGACCAAGGTGCCTCATGGAGGAATTTTCTCCCTGAGCGATGCTGCTTGGCATACAGCTCTACGCTCGTATGAAGATGGTGGACGGCTTCGTCCATTTTCCTCCTCCGGACATCCGGTGCCATGCTCCTCCAGTTGAGGTTCTGGAGCTGTGAGAACATATGGCACGGAGGCGAACCAGTCAAAAGCGCCGGTTCGTCCTTCTCAAGGATGTCGTGCACCTCTTGAACATCTTCGGGCTTGTTCAAGTCCCAGTATGTTCCATCACTTTTCATCTCATTCAAGTCGACCGCAAAACCCGGTCGCAACTTGTAGCGCTCTGCAAGCGCAGTGAACCTCTTGGGCGAGTAGATCTCCATGATATCTACTGCTGACATCTGCATGCTCAAATGAGCGATGTCTCCGATCTCTTGCTCAGAGATCTCGATGCCATTTGCCTCATAGGTTCCTTGAATGATCTTCTTCAGATGCTGCTTTGCGATCTCCTTCTCTTTTACCAAGCTGGCTGCATCTGGCTTCCACCCTGCTGGTGGTGTTTCTGGAACATGTGAAAATTGAGACGTTTTCTTTGGACTCTCTTCCACTCTGGGATCAAGGTCTTCTACGGCGGTCTCTGCCGTCCTCTTTGTTCCTTGGGCTGGATTCGGCTTGACCTTTGCCCCAGGTGGATCTATCCTAAGCTCTGCTGTTCTCTTCTTGGGCTCTGTTGCTACCTTGGCTTTTGCCACTGGCTTCTTCTCTATCTCAGCTGCTTGCCTCTTCATCTCATATCTCTCTTTCGGGTCATCGGGATAGGTCTTCTCACCCTCTGCCGCTGTTGGCGGCGGGCTTCCCGACCCTGCGCTCTTTGCCTTCTTTCTTCTCTGGTTCTCCGGCCGCGTCTTTGGCCGTGATGTCGGTGTCCTTGTCGGCCACGACTTTCGGCTTCACAGTGTCAAGCTGTTGCCGTTCCTTTCTCTTCTTTGCATGGGCTTCAAGTCTCGCTTGCCCAGCTTCATCCTTTTCCATTGCTTCGGTGATCCTTGCTCTGCACGCCTCTGTGTGCGGCAAGGTCGTTCTCTTGTCTTCCAAGATGCACCTGCATCCTGGGCAGCCTTCTGTGGCTCCATGCTTGTGCGCATCCTCTCTCCTGATGTATACTCGCCTCTGTTGTGGTGGTGCCACTCGTTCCTCTTTGGGAGGTGGTACCACAAGGCGCTCTTCGAGCATCAACTGCTCACCGGCAGGCCTTGCCGCGGAGTGCTCCCACGGTAAGCCCCGCAAAAGGTCCCAATCGCTTGGGTCCCAGCGGTCGGCTGAACTCAGCCGCCGGATTCCTGTGCCTCTTCGCACACCATCGGCCGTCATCACCAAAATGGATCCTGTTCGGCCATGGTGTCCTACATAGCGTCCTTCTTTCAGGATGCGAACTCCCTCGCCTACTTCTCTAAAGTATAGGCGTTCACCAAAAGCTATGGCAGGTTTTCGCCATTGCTTTCCACATCTTCTGGCCTCAGGCGTTCTGCCATCTTGACCTTTCTTGTACCTGCTCAACAGGTCTCCCGCCTGCCTTGGCAGCCATGCCAATGCAGGATCATCATCTTTGAGCTCTTTGCCGAGCTTCTCTTCCAACGCGCTGCGGAGAACTCGTACTTGACGCTTGGTCTCCTTGCAGGCGTTCTCTGCCAGACCATTCGCCTGATGGTCCCCTACTGGCGACTCTTCCGAAACCCAGTCTATGCCGATTTCTTTTGCCGCTGCCTCTTTCAAGGCTACCACGGATGGCTCACCATCCGACTTGAGAACCACCTTGCGGCGTCCCAAGTTCTTCAAGAAGTTCGCCACGAACTTCACTGCATACGGCGTCGCTCCCTTCGAGTCCACGAAGGTCGCCGCTAAGGACTGTGTCCTCTCATCCTTCACCACGAGGATCGGCTTCACTCGCTCGTCCTCCACACCGCCCCGTGACATGAACGTGTAGTCCATTGCCACTGTGGGCACAAGGCTCTTGGCCTTCTCTTCCTCGGACCTCGTCCGATGTGGCTGTCCCACAGCCCGTCCAGCAATGCAATGCCGGCACCAACTTCGATACTGCACATGGCCTGTCGCCTCGTGCTCTTCGATCTCAGCCGGAGTTGGGTCCTCCGGTGCTCTTATCTGGATGGGTTTCTCAACCTCATCAACTAACTCCAACTCATCATCCTCTTCTCGCCCCTCTGGACCAGGTCGGCCTGAATCCATAGAGGCATCTCCTCTTTCTCCTGTGGCGTTCAACTCTGCGATGCCACAGCATTCCTTTGTCGGTTTATACCCTGGCTTTCTCAAGTAGAAGTTGTACACTCCCTGCTCCTGATACACAGGGATCCAACTCCGCTGCTCTGCAGCGTTCGCTTTCTCCAGGATCGCCTGGACAGCCTTTCCAACTTTGGACCCTTGCGGAATCAAGTTTCCGCCATTTGCATCAAGAACTGCAATCCTTCCAAAGCCTAAGCACTTGGATGCTGAAATCAATGGCTTGTGAACATCAGCCATTGAACCTTTCACACGGCATTTGTTGCCGCTCTCGTCGAACCCTTCAAAGGTTCCAATGCCCTGACTGGGCACCAACTCTCCTGATGCAGTCTTGAATACAACTCCGTTGCCTTCACTGACAACCACTTGGTCCTCCCAGCCATTCGGGATGGCTGTCTGGGCTGCTCCAGTGTCCAGGTTAAACTTCATCCATTCTTCGGCGGATGAGGTATCCGCCATTCCAATTCCACTCAAGTCTGCCATGAGCATTCCGACATCAGCTTCCGGAGCTGGCTCAACGCCATCATCCGGATCGTCCATCTCTTCCATACTTCCTGCGGCTTTACCTTTGCCGCTTCTTCCACCTTTGCCTTTATTGCCTTTGCCACCTTTACCACTCTTGTCTCCTTTGCCTGAACCTGACCACTTATCGCCTTTTCCATCCGGCCGTTTCTTGCTCCAGCAATCGGCCGCTCGGTGTCCCTTCTTACCACAGTTGTAGCAGGTGATATCTTGAGCCGGGTTTGAGCCTTTACTTGAGCCCCCTTTGCTTGAGCCTTTCTTTCCATCACCTTTGGCCTGCTTACCTTTTCCTTTACCTTTTCCTTTGACCAGGCTTGCGATCCATTGTCCGATCGAATCGACGTCCATGGGTTGAGGTCCTTGATAACTAGAACTCGATGAACCTGGTTTTGGAACAGATGACTTTGATGTGAGGGATGTTTCAATGACAAGTTCAATCTCTTGTTTGATCAATGAATAGGTTGTCAATCTACTCTTGTTCAACAAAAGATGTTTCTCCAAATCTGGGGGTACCAGCATCTCCAATGAAGCGGACTTGATGTCGTCCGATAGGGTCTCCCTGGTCCCTGCGGCACTCCTCCGAGACTCGTACCGCCGGATGAGCTCTTCGAGCTGTTCGATCGCTGGCCTCACCGCGGCCCATGTCTTGACTCTCTCCGGTTGCGAAGTATATTGCGTTTCCGTCCCGAGGTTCGGGGATCCCAACGGCGGTGAACTCGCCGATATGCTTCAAACCCATTTGAAGCTCCTACCATCAAATCCTCTGTTTCACCTGAGGTTAGGGTCAGGAGCACGCGATGAATTTGATCAGCTTTATCCTCTAGATCATCCATAGCTGCTATGGTTCCAGTCCCAAACGCGGACTCCATAGCACTCATTTCAATCGCGTCTTCCTGTTCCAAAATATACTCAAGAACTTCAATGAACTCTCTCCCAAAGGTAGTTATGAACAGGTTGTCAATGCTCCTGGCCCATTTTCGAAAATCCCCTTCAACATTCCCAAAACTCTCGGGGCGTCCCAAACCTTTGGTGTCCATAAGGATTTGGGTCTTCCACCTATCTTCTTTCTTCTCAAGGCTCTTAGCCAATTCTCCTACGGCTGAGGCTAGCATTGATACCCCGCCTTGAGACTCCCTCAACACTTGATTCTCTTGCTCCAACCTCGTTTGGTTCTGTTGGCGTTGCAATACCATATCGGTCAGCTGTTGGATCTGTTGTTCCATGGTTCCCTACTCTCAACCCTGCTGCTGCTGCCGCTCGCTCCTTTTCCAGCGGCAGTCGCGGGCGATTCGCCCGGTCAAGGATCGGAAGCTTTTGGCACTCCACGGACTTCAACAGTAGTCCGTGTGAGTTCTTCCGGGCGACGACCCACAGTTGTGGCCTTCGCTTTAGCCGCTACTTTTGGTGCGGCTGACGGTTTGGCCTTCCCTTTTGGTCCGGCCTTCGATTTGGCCTTCTCTTTCGGCCCAGGTGTCAGGCTCACTTTTGGTGCCGCCTTTGTCTTGGCGGTCGATCCGAGCCGGGCAGGTCCCTTAAGACCACGCCGCTTGATGTAGTCCTGAACCACGGGCAACTGTGCCTGCCGTCGTTCGTCACAAGAACTACAAGCCTCGTTGGATCCTCTCTTTCCCTGGTCGTTGGGGGTCTTCCAGAGTTCGCGAATGGCGGCCAATGCAACGGTACCCTTGAGGGCTCGTTGCTCGACAAGTTCGTCGGCCGCAAGCTTTCGCACTTGGAACGGGCTCTCTAATTTCCAATTTTCTATCGTCAATCGCTGGGCCCGCTCGTTGGCTAGGGCGACGATGCGGAGGTTCAACTCCAGTGCACGCCCCCAGACCGCCCGTCCCCGCTCGGTGTCGCGGGTTTGCGGTCGCTTAGCCGGCGGTGGCCCGTCCGGTGTTCGAGGCTGTCAAACCGGACTTGGTTGGCTCACCGACTCTTCTTCTTCGACCTCCTCCTCGGCTGAACCAGCCGCTTCACTCTTCTCTGAGGTCTTTCTCTTCTTGGTCCGCTTCTCTTGATTGCGGACCTTTTGCTCTTCCCGCTCTTCTTTGATCTCTTGTGGAGTGCGCCCCTTTCCGAACTCTTTGATGCGCCTCCTCAGATCTTCTGTGCTGACACCCTTCTTCTTCTGCAACCTGACCAGGTCCTTGAGCCTCCGGTACTGAAGCGAAGTCTTGCTTCGAAGTCGGAATCCGGACTGTGGCTCTGGATGCTTCTTGACCTGTCCCCAAATATTCTTCTTCACCCTCCAAGGCGCTTTGGGATCAACCTTGGCTTCAGTATATTTGGTGTGAATGCCACGGACTTCCCAACCTGTTTTGACACCTTCTGGGGATGTGATGAAGTCGGCGATCACTCGGCCAGACGATGGCTGTGCGGCTGGATCAGCCGCTTCAGCCTCTGGCTCTACTGTGGGGTCTTGTTCAGGCTTCTCTTCTTCTCCTCCTTCTGTCTCTTTTGTGGTCTCTTCTTCTTCTTTTGTTTCCGCGGTCCCTTCAACCGCTGATGTTGTTTCGGCAGTTCCTACAACCGCCGGAGTGGTGTTCGCGGCCGATTCTGCCGCTGATGTGGCTGGCAAAGGCTCCTCCTCCTTTTCTTCCTTTCCACTCGGGGCGGCCGAATCGGCCGCTCCCGGGATTTCCTGGTCCTCCTCCTCGGAGGTCTCTACCTTGCTATGTCTCTCCTCCTTTATGCGCAGCGCTTGGTCCCTTTCGCTTTCACCGGGCTCACGCGCTACCATGAAAACAGAGTTTCGACGTTTCGGAACGCCTTTTCTCCCTTGAGCCAAAACACGTCAAGAGTCACGTGTCTGCAGTACCCTAGCGGAGTATATATGGGCTGTACATACAAACAGCAAGGACAATCTATATATATATATATATACACGCTACATAGATACTTGGAGTCCCATGAAAGAGGAACATCAAGTATTCTCATGTCAGCCTCAAGCGGCAACCCTGCTGCTTTCATCAGCATCGGACAAGAAGGGACCGAAGCCTTTCTGAAAGGTACGTGAAAAGAATCTTGTCAGACACATGCAGGTCTCGCCTTCGAACTCTGCCCCTCAGTAGCTTGTAAGGTTTGAGATCTCCCAACTCCTAACCCCCACGGAAGTCAGCCTCAGCTTATATGATACCAGTACATGTTCCGACTCCTCTATCCTATCCTCAAGAGTGCTTCCTGTCATCACTACCTACACTGGGATATCTGGGACACCTGGCAATTAATCTGAATGTGGAGCCATGAGCTTAAGGATGTTCCTCGAAAAGGGTGGCTTCACTCGAACGTTGACTTCTGAACTCCCCATTATGCATTCCATTCTCCTTCGTCGCTACCCTCTCTCCTCCAAACCGCAGAAGACTCAACCCAGAAGAAGGGAGTACAATGACTTTTGAGCTCCAACCGGGGAACTAATGTGTGGAATGGTTTCACTTTGAGTGCGCCAGGGAAGTGCACGGGCTTGTTTGCATGTGGTTGGACTTCATTCCTTGAAGGTAATGCGCTGTGGAGAGAGTTCGAATGTCTTTGGTGCATCTCGAGGATGCGCGAGAGGAGCTGAAAGTGTTTGATGTGTACATGGAGAGTGCACGAGAACAGTGGAAGTGTTTGAAAGACAGCTGAATGTGTTTGAAGCGTTTGGTGCATCGAGAAGACGCGCGGTGAGCATAACGCCTGTCTGAATGAGATTGTCAGTTGCTGTAGAATTCAATCGGAGGCTTTGTCTCACATGATGTTCTGTGACACATGCGGAAGAATGTGGCGTGCTGCAGGTTGCTGCGAACACGGGCGTGACTGGAGTCACTTCTGGAGTTGAAGCGCTCCAGCCTCGATCGCATTGATTGCGCTGTGATTGACTTGACGGCCGCTGTGTGCGACGGCCGCGCCTCCGCCAACCCATACAGGCCAGGCAGCGCGAGCCATAAGTTCAATAGTTCAAATCTCCCAATAAACTGCGGAGTTCACGAAAGTGTGCCCCTTTTGTACCGGTGGTTTGATTTCCCCCAAATCCAAGCACGCCCGCAGAACCGCCCCTGTTCACGAGTAATGTGAACCGAATTTCATCCCCATTTGCTAGCAAGTGACCAACAAACTCCCTGTAGCTCCTTAGTTCCCTTTTGGTTGGGAATCTGACCCCAACAGCTCTTGATCGTTCTCTCCAAACCCTCCAGCTAGTTAGTTATGCAAGCTGCTTAAACTATAGTTCATCCCACCTCTTCCACTCTAGTTCATCCCCTCACAGAATCCAAGCATCTGCACTCCTTCAATCTGCAGCACAAAGCTGCAAGTCTTGTCACATCGGTTCACCACGCGGCCCAGCCCCACGCCCGGCTTCCGCGTCTCGCCCTTCACCGTGATGGGCTTCGCGGCACCGATGTGCATGTACTGCGGCTGCTTGGCACCTGCCGGGTGCCGTCCAAGCGATGCCCATGGGCACGGTGTGCGTTCCAGGGGTGAAGATCTCGGTGCGGAAGCGGCTCCTTCTAAGCCGGTGCGAAAGCAGTGCAGCTCTGCAAAAGAACATGGAAATGGCAGCCAATCTGGCCAGAGTGTGTGAAGTAGTGTGCACCGAAATCCGTGAAGGCCGGCATGGCCGTGGATGTCAAGAAAGCAGAAAGGAAATGAGAGCCAACAAGGGTAAAGCCAAAGCCAACACCCCAAAAAGTCCCAACCCCAAAACGCTTTCCCAAGTCCCTAAGTCCACCAAAGTCCCAACCCCTGCAGCCTGACCGTTTGACCTCGCAGCCTGGAAAAAGACAACAAAGGCGGTTTTCTTGGACCGTTTGACCCCTCACCGGCACCTTGGATGTTGTGCCCGGGGGTGAGTCGTACCTCTTGTCCCCTGGACAGATCCAACCACATCCGCTTCGCGCGTGGAGGCAGACGCCGGCCCTCGGCATCGTAGGGCACCAGCGCCCGAGAGACCTGCAGTCCAAGCGGCCGGCGAGGCCGACGGGACGAGCTGGACGCGTCCGATCGCTGCCGTTCGTAGCGAAGCCAGGAGCGCCCCTAGTAGCTTCTTGCTACTAGTAGTAAGGCCAGGAGCGCCCCTAGTAGCGTCCTTGCTCCCCACGGCGTTGATGAAGTGTGGAGGTATTTGCTCAAGACTGCCGAAGACTGCCCCCTGAATTCAGATGCCAATTTCCATGCAGAGAGGGCTAGAGACTGGGTAGATTGAAATTACGGGGTAGAAATTGAAAAAACTGTTCAGACAAATACTCAAGCTTATGATGAGGGGGTGACGACAATTCATCTCTAATTCTCTAAGGTCTTTCCCAACCTCAAGATCCGTTTTACTATGTTTTCACTCCGTTTTGCACCCCCAACATCTTGCCCACCTTAGGCCACACAGGCGGCTTCACGATGCTCAAGCCGAAGCCTAGCTCGGGCAACAGCAGCCGCAAAATCTCATCCGACTTGCCAAAGAGCCGCAAGGTCATCTTGCCATCCTGGAAGCGATCGGTGGGTGGTGGTCTTGGGGCACGGTTTTGGGGGTACCTGTACGGATTGGGAGGTGCTGAATAGTGTAGTGCACGAACACCCTGCAACAACTACTAGGACCTCGATGAATCAAGACATAAGACCCTTCCCTGTTCTCCAGATCACTACGACAACAATCAGCGCTTGCTTTCTATTTTGGGGTTTCTCAAATCACCCACTTAACAGCAAAACTACAAACAGAAGACCATCCAAAAAGCCCCCGAAAATGCATTGAAGAAACGAGACACTCCCCCGCTTTCCCCACGGTGTTATTCTCCGATTCCCCCAAAAACCCTGCGCCTGTGCCGTCTGCTGCAGGTTCATGATCACCGTGCCCAGGCCACCTCCTACCGAGGGCAGCAGGTCAAACTTCTCCGACTTTGAGATCGTCACGACTTCCCCCAAACGGTCCTAGGACCGTCGCGCTTTTCGGCCGGTGCGCCGCGGTTGGTTTCGCGGGGGGTGCGGAGGGTGGGGTGTTCTAGAAGGGAGAAGGAGGCAAATGGCAACGGAAGTTGGACCTTTGGAGCTCAGTTGACTGGTGACCAAGGGTGCAACAAATCTACGACTGCTCCTGATCAGTTCATTCAGTAAACAAAACGTGACGCTTGACCGGCCTTGAATGGTCCATGAGACCTCCCAAAAGACCAAAATCAGAATCATGGACCATGGAGAAATCAGGCAGAATCATCGGATTGTAGGTCTTCTTGGGAAGACGTGATTTGTTTCCACTAAATTTTCAATGGGAAAGGATCTTAATGGTAAACCCATGTAATTAAACCCAACGAAAAAAATAAGTAATAACAACTACCAATGGTAGCTTGATCTGGAGACCCATTCGAGGGTATGATAGTAGATAGTCCTGCTTTACCATATGTTTTGGCAATTCTGTGAGTACATGGGTGGCCCAATCTCAAGCCATCACGACCGTTTTGCTGAGCCAAAGAAGTTTGCCTTTGCACTGCATGGCATCTTATGGAGGAAGCCATGACCAGGATGAAGTTTAAGCAGCCTACGTGCAGAAATGCTTTGCGCAGTTTACCAGACAGGTCGCACATTTAATAAATTCCGCCACCGGGACTCAAACCTAGGTCGCTCGGGTGAGAGCCGAGTATCCTAACCAGCTAGACTATAGCGGATTCTGTTGAGCAGAAGAGGGAGCCACTTTACCACAGGATGTGTGCAAATTGAGCCAGCACGCAGGCACGGCTGTGGTCTTCAAGCACTCGCCTTTTTGGCTCATCAGGATAGGATGAAGAACTTTAAGCAGCCTACGTGCAGAAATGCTTTGCGCAGGTCGCACATTTAATAAATTCATCCCTCGTTGACCCTGCAAGGAAGAAAGACCCGTCTTTCGTCACCGACGGAAGAGGTCGCCCCTTTCTCTTCCCAGGCGTCGTCTTCTTCTTCCGAGTCATCATCGGCCGCTGGCCGAAAGCGTGCCTGGCAGACGGAGGGGCAGACTCAACCGGGTGCACCGAAGGAAAGCCCTTTTCAGCGGCTCCAGGGCCGAGGCTTCTGGAAGATCCTGGGATAGATTCATGACCCTCAATGGTGGAGGAGGAGGAGGAGGAGGGAGGAGGGAGGAGGGAGGAGGAGGAGGATCATGGTCAGCAAATGTTTTAGACCAGGTCAGACACAAAAAACGCTCTCCTCTGGTTGGTGATTAGTTCAGGATGTCTGCTTCCGATCACCCCAAACTAGTTCAAACGTGCTTATCCCACTTCTAAAAAAGTAAGAACTGTCCCGTCTTTCCTCAACTCCTCCAAATCGGACCAATCCCAGAGGCACGCAGATCATCCCAGAGTCTCCACCAGAATCCCCACCATCCGAGCCTGGAAGTCCTTCTCCTCCACCTTCGTCACGCAGCCCTTGAAGCTCCGCCCTCCACGCCGCAGCATCACCCAGGCCCCCGGTGCCAGCACGCCCTCGGGCGGAGCCGAAGGCTGCAGGCTGCGGTCGGCCGTCTTCGTCGCCACCTGGCGAACAAGGTAGTTTTCTTCAGAAAAACAAACGAACAAAGTTTAGATTGGTTGTTTTCTCATATCTGTTTCTGTTCTTTGTTCTTTCTTCCTGGTCTAGCGATGGCCTTCAACCTACTAGCGCTGCCGGCATCGCCACCGTTCCGGTTTTCCCCATCAGGATGGTCGAAAACCCGGTCACAATCGGTCCGGATGAGCCGGTCTGGCCGTGAAGTTCGACGTGTCTTTTCTTCATCTGAAGAGGTCCATCATGGTCCTATCCATCGAAGGTCCATCATGGTCCTATCCATCGATCCATCCGTGATGAAGAACAATCTCTCCTGGTCAGCATTGAGACCACCCAGGCTGGTGCCCAAGACTAGGCAAAGGTCGGCCGTGTCGGCGTCCTCTCGCATCCAGGGATAGGACCTCTCCTGAACCGGAGGTTTCACGGGTCACGGCATGGGAGGTCTTGAAATCAAGGATTGGTGATTGGTGGGATATCATGGGCAGTCTACTGGAAGTAACACCACGTAAATCAAAGTGATGTTAAAACTGTCAAGTAAAAATACAAAAGGCATTGACCTGTCATCAGTGTCCCAATCCATTGACCATGGATCCTTTTCCTGGAGCACCTGGAACCTCCAGGTTTCTTGCATGCATGTTCTCCATCATAAGGGTGGTGCGGGAGTTCTTCTTCATGGTCGTAATGAGTCACTAAACAGGGGCTCCCTCACCTGTGACATCGACCAAATCCCACCGAAAGAACGCACCAAGCGAGATGCACATCCAACCGTGAACAATTCCTACTACCCTAGTAGCGATGGCCTCCACCCTACTGACTTGGGGAGGGTGGTCAAAGAGTTTTACTTCAACGAACGCCATCTGCAACCAGGTCTCGTGCAAAGTCCCACTGTACTTCACTACCTCAGGGTCGATCAAAACTCCGAAGCTGAGCATATCTGAGTGATATCTGTGTTTGGGAAAAATCAGGACCCCTTGTGGCTGGAGTCCAAAGAGCCCCGCCATAGAACAACAGTCATCCCGAGGGGTTTTGAGGCTATGGTTGGCAGATCGCGATCATTTGAGGCTATTGGTCCGGCCATGATTGCTTCCCCCAAGGGTCACCTTTAGCCGTCCTCGATGCAATTCGTGTCCTAAACATCCAACAGACCGTAGCGGTTTCCTTCAGCACACTGGGTCGACTATATATATATATATATATACTGTATATATATATATATAAGTCGTCTACCTGGGGATGATTGCCTACCATGTTGCTGGTGAAAGAACAAAACTGCATCAGCGACTTGACACGTCAAGGGCCACTTGACAGTCCTCAAGGCACTAAGTCGTCCCTTCCAATCTATCTAGGCAGGATGTTCCAAATTCTCCCCCAAAAGGAAAACAGTGCGTTCCCTCCTGATATGGGTCGACGTTGAACCACAAAGTCATCCACACTCTCCCAAAAATTGTCCAAATAGCCACTCATCCTCATCCTCTGCCGAAGGGCCGGATTTCCTGGATCATACCAACTGCCATGGATCTCATTGATGCGCTCCTGGGGAAACCCAGCCTTCTGCGGGAGCCCGTCGTGATTCTGTTGCACCCAGCCATGCAACAAACCCTGGCGCCCTGGCGGCAGTGCCACAGGCGCTGCAGGGAACCCAGTTCATGGAATCATGTGATTTGTGTAGGACTCGGTTTCTCTCAGTCAAAAGACACGATTGTGGGTTGAAACCTTCAAATCAATGACCAACAAAGAATCAACAGTGCAGAACCAGGCTCAAACCAACCCGAAAAGGCTGGAGAATCTGTTTTTTTTGTACATCACACATGTCTGTCAAGTCAAACAGAGAAAGGATCTTACAAAAGCTCCCAAGTCATGTTGCATTTTCAAGCTGAACATGGGGTGAAGACCGTGCTATCAATACCGGCGTTGTAAGGATACCTCCCTGCCACTCCTTTCAATCGAAGAAAAAGCAACAACAGGCACAGGCTGAGGCGCCCAAGAAGCCCAGCGCATGGTGAGTAAAGGTGGGCGGCGCCGCACGCGTGTCGGCTTTCCATCCAACGGTGTGTTGCCCGCTGAGGGCGGCTTGTCCAATCACGGCTGCTGAAATGCCTGAGGAAGCGGTGTTCCAACCCCGGAATTTGAATGCAAACAAAAGGGGTTCCCAAATGCAAGGAATATGCAAGAAGTATTTTTGGTTCCTCGTTAAATGGAGCAGATGGCCTCCATCATGGTGACCAAAACCTTAAAAGCCGGCTATCAAAGGGAGGTGCATGGCTTGAAAAATCACCATATACCGAATCTATGGCATGGCGGATGTTTTGTGCCTTCAGCTCAAGTTCACTACTATGTCAACGTGCATTGAAAGCCGTGGAAGTGGAAGTTACAGAACTTGGCAGCTGAGGCAACAAATCCTTTGAGATTGCATCCATTGTGTTTTACTTCAGTACCTTCAGCTATACCAAGTGTTCAAAAATCGTTCCCCTCGATTGCAAGCGCGGTTCGTCAAGAAACCCGTGTACTTCTCAGCAAGGAAGTTAGAGTTAAGCTGGAACTTCCCGCAATGCCGCGTTGGCAACAAAAAAGCGGCTGGCGGCACCAAAACCTTAGCCCATTCTATTAGTGATGCATCCCTCATTTGCTCTTCGGAGGGTTTCACAAACCCGGGACAGTCAGGACATCTTCCCAGTTCCACCTGATTGGAGAAAATTGGGTTTCTGGATAAATCTCTTTCTGTGAAAGGAGAAATCTCTCTTTCAGCACCCTTCCTGCAACTTGCCCTCCATCCAGGTTCCAGTGGACAGTGAAGGTGAAGATGAGGAACCAAATAGTGATGATGTTGTTCCCGCTACTTGGCGGGGAGGAGACTTCTATAAATAGGCTTGCACATCTTCTCAACCCAGCCTTGTGAAGATCCATAGGAAGTAGTGACTAAGTAGTGGAACTAGTCCAAACCGTGAAGCCCATCTGCCCCATCCAGCTCATCCACCTGCCCGCCTGCGCCAGTGTAGGCCACTGTCTTCCGTGACATCAACATGAGCCTCGCCAGCTCTTTGACCTTGGCAGCCATCACCTGTCGCCGCAAATGGCCACAACATACGTGGTGCCCAGTGCGGAGGAGAAACCAATCCAGGTGACCAGGTGCGCAACGAGCCCTATCTCAGCCATCTACGAGCCCTATGTTGGAGGGCGTATTTGATGAACACCAAGAGGTGGGTTCGAACCCTTGCAACGCTTTCATGACCTATCATACTGAGTCATACTCTCTCCCCAACCAACAGCAGATGTACTTTGCCGACTCACATTGGTGGCTTCTCTTCATGCTAAAATCAACCGGCTGGACTGGACGTTGATCGAAAAACACTGTCTGTGCTGGGCTTGCAAACTGGACTGTCTGTGCTGACTCCGAACTTGCAGAGTGACTCCGAACAAATATGAGTCACTCGGCCTGCTGTGGCCTGGGGAAGCCACAGCCAGCCCAACAGGAGCCACTGTGTTAGAGTTAAACCACACCAAATCGGGGAAGACCTATTGGTTTCTTGAACTGCACTAAGTCACAGCCTCAAGAAACTAACTGTTGGGGGTGTCGTAGCATACCTCCATCCCCTCACGCAGTCCGGCTTAAGCGTTCACCTTCCGTTGTGCCAAAACCATCCCCAAAACCTTCGCAAAAGGGGCAAAACGCCCCGCCCCGGTTCGCCCCAACGGTCTCGGTGGCCTGGCCTCCGGTTGATCTTCAAATTCGGTGGCTGTCAACCACTTGGGACAGGAGTGATCTTTCCTGCACATCAAGGGACCATGTTTGGCTTCACATCGGACCCAATGGCCCATGGTGACCGTGTCGTGGTTTGGCCCATTCGGACCGCATGGATGGATGGTTTGGTTGATTTGTCATAGTTCGCAGCTGTAAAGTTCTGATGAAAAATGCGGGAATTCACGGAGTTCCATTTAGGCCTAAGTCTTCCTGGAGGTTTCCCCAAAAGCCCCATTATATATACATATATATATATATAATTAGTTTGTACTTTTCATGACTTTTCAGTGGAAGTGTTCTGCTTCCCATTCTCTATCTTCCAAACCGGTCTGTGTCGTGTGGTCTTCCGCTCCTGGGAGGTTGATCGCTCCTCCACAGAACCTTCGGGGCGTTCAGCGGCCCTCCATAGCCACGGCCGAACATGAACTGCGGATGCGAGTGGGGCAGGTACGCCGTGCTGCGCAAGCGCTCGCAAATGGAGGCGCGGGTCGGGTCGTCGTCCGTAGTGCCGGCACTGGTATCCTCGTGCCGGGACCCAAGTGCCAAGCCAACATGGACCGGTATTTTGATGCATATGGATTGAGAGCGAATGGCACAATCCCCAAGTTTGATGGTTGACCCCCATCTAAAAGACATCTGGGGATTTGTGCCACTTACTCTGCAACACCCAGGGTGCTTCGCAAACTGCTTGTTCTCCCTCAAACTGCGCTTCTGGTTGCCTGCGGACTCCCCGAAAACCAGCGAAGCGAACACCTGCGGACAGGCGAGCGAACGGACTCCCAAGGCGGACTGAAGGATGCTTGGGCCCAAACGACGGCTCAAGTCGAAGACCCGGACTCGAGTTGCGACGTGACCACGGCCACGGCCACGGCCATCCCTTCGGTCGTGCCAGGGTCGGAACCGAGGAACGGTTCATAACGGTTTCATCACGGACGACGGGAGTCACGGGCTGCAAAAGCCACGAGTTGAGCGTTGGTCGATCAGCCATTTCGCCCACCCCTCCAACTCTGAACAACGAACACCCAGCATCCCGCAGCAGCTCAGGTGGTGGACCCGGCCCATCGGTCGCCTCCTCCACAAAGAAGACACTGGGCGTTGATGCTACATGATGCTACTACCATGGTAGCAGCTGCGGGTGAGGTTTTCTACCCGTTTCCCTTGGCAAAGGAATGGTTTCACAGGGCCTTTTTGGACGGCCCGTTTTGGGTGTCAAGCTTTTGGATGAATTCTACAGAATTTTGTGATTTCAACAGACTTCAAAACTCCAAGCCAAAACGTCCTCTCACCCAAGGGATGTTCAGTCCAGAACATGGGATCATGGCATAATTTGTTCACACCGTCCTGAATATCTAAGATGCACTCCACTCCATCCCACAAGCTCTCCAACCTGCTCACTCCCCCCGGACCCTCCCGTCCTCTTCAGCGGCCTCAACCATCGCCTCATCCGCTGAATCCACTCCCACAATACTCCCACGTGCTTCGAAGACATCCCGATGCTCTTCCTCCCACGGTGCCACCGGCGGCACCTCCACGCTGGGCGCCATAGTGCCCTCAGGCACCGTGCGCGGCGGCACAGGCGCGGCGGGCGCCGCAGGCGCCGCGGGCACCGCAGGCGCCGCGGGCGCGGCGCGTGGGAGGTCCAGTGGTCTGGAGGCGTCCGGCTGGTCGAACTGCAGCTCCCAGCTGGTGCGGTGTATGGAGCCGTTCTTCCACTTCAATAAGACCACGATGTCGAAGGTGCCCCAACCTGCGAGCAAGTCCAAAACCCAAGCGGCTGAATTTGTTTCCTCGATTACGAGAGACTGTGATATTTCCCGGGAACCCAGTAGCCTTCTCTAACTTTCAAGAGCATCTTGCCTTTCCAAAAAACACTGCAGTGCGAGTGTTCGACCTCACAGCCCACAAAAACAGAAAGTTTGCCCACCGGCATGGCACACCGCTGAAAAGAAGTCGGCACCCACAAAAACAGGAAGTCACCCCGCGAGGTTGAACCCCCATAGTCCAACGCAGTATACTTACCTTTTGCCGGCCCTGACCCCAACTCCTACTTCGCTGGCCCACCGAGCACCTCGAGACTGGAACTCGAAGGGTGGCTCCTGTCGTACGCGCACCGGATCTTTGAAGGTCGGATGCAGCTTGATGGTGACGGAGTCCAACTCCTCTGCTCGCTCCACAGAAGGGGGACGCACCGGCTCGGCGGGCGCGGATATAACACCGGACTGCCCCGAAACGAAGCTGGCGCACCGCTCCGAACCCAGGTGAAACGCAGCCAGAAACCCTTCCGTCCCATCCCAAACCGTGAAATGAAGGCGACACCACGGAGGCCAGTGGTTGTGCCAGACCAGTGGTGGCTCTGGAGGAGTTCAAGAAAATTCCTGGTGGGGTCGCCTCTGAAGACCTGGATGTCGATGTCCAAGATGTTGACACTGCTGGGGATTGTCTGGAAAGACTTGCAATCCTGGTTCCTCGCTGCACACGAGTGTGTGACCCTAGCTGGTTGAACCAATCAAATCAAATAGGGCGAAAAGGATCACTGCAAGGGGAAATTCCATGTTCTTCTTTCAGGGCTCCAAGTGTCCAGATGAGCAAGTCAGGTCTGTGTCATACCTCCCGCAGCACCTCCCACCCATCTGCCTGAAGAGTGACTCCCATTTTCCCCCACCGATGGTATTCGAACCTTTCGTCCGAACCTTTCGGGGTCCACCAAACCCCACGCTGCCGTGCACCGCCCGACTGCCGTCATGATCGCTCGCCTGAACACAAACCTCACCAGGCGTCTTCCGTGGCACCCCGGACGTAGAAGGTCCAGTTGTAGCGCTTGCCATCCTTCGCAGGGGAGCAGCTGTTGCCCAGCACCAGCGCCATTCGCGTCGACGAAGCGAAGCGACGCGCCGCCGGGAAGGCCGGGACTCTGCGGATCAGCAGCGAGGAATCCAGCCGGACAGGAGGGTGAGGTTGGATCGGAAACAGCCCAAAGGTGGGAACCCAAGAGAAAAGACAAGTCTAGTAGGGTTCCCACCTTTGGGTGAGTAGAGACCGCTGCACTCAGCTCTAGTGGGAACTCAAGACATGTTTAGACTAAAAAGTAAAGCAAAGTAGGGGAGTCATTGACCTGGCCATGGGTGTTTTGTTGCTCGCTGTCTCGCACGGAGACCGCTGTGGAGTGGCGCTTCTGCCATGGCGGCTAGGACCACAGATGACCAAGGGACGGTCCTGCCAAATCACCAAAGTGAACTGGGTAGGATCGAAATCTGTCAACAAGACTTTTCAACTGCTTACCTGGCGCTTCCCGCCGGGGTGTCCAATGGAGACCTATAAGTAATGTTGGGCAGTCCAGATTGGACATGAAGCAGCTCGTAGATGCAACTCCAACCCCACAGCCACTGCAGTCCCTCAGCCACTGCCAGGTCTGCCGACCCTCCTCCCCTGCGGCGCCGCATCCTGGAGCTGAACTCGAGCTGAACCGGCTACCTACATACAGAAGCAACCACCTGCTGGGAGGGAACAAGCATCTTCCAGACTGGAAATCAAAACGCGGGCTGCAAAGGAACCTGGGTTCCTGTTTTGCATATCACGGGTCGCACGGAAAATCCCACAAGGAAACAAATCCGCCACCCAAAAAGGACAAAGCCCTCCTTTGCTAGCACTGTCATACCCATGACTGCTCCAAAACTATGAAGTAAATATCCAGGTTAATATTAATATCTATTACGTGTATATATATATATATATTGTTTTTTAAATGTATTACCTGGACCCTCCAAGAGGTGCCCAGAAACCACCTGCTAGGGTCACAAAACCACCTGTTGGAGGGTGCTGGGTGTTTTTGTTAACAAGGGAAATGCAGTCCGCGGCCAATGCTGGGTCACGTCAGCAGTGTTCGAGTGAAAACAATCCTATGTTCCTGGCAAAAACTATTTGAGGGTGCTAGTGCTGATATATCGGAATATTTACGTTTTGTCAAAGGAAGTTTAGTGTACGAAACTTCCGTGTTACGGACATTCAAGAACTGTTCATACACCACTCATTATACACCACTCATCATACACCACTCATCATACACCACTCGTCGCACACCACTTATCATACACCACTCATCAGACACCACTCATCATCCAGTTAGCTCTAGTTTCAAGAGCTCTAGCTCCAGTTAGCTCTAGTTTCAATAGCTCTAGCTCCAGTTTGCGTGGCAGGTGCATCACTTTGTGAACCTCCATGTGGAGATTTCGTGGCAGGCGCAGCACTTCGTGAACCTCCATGTGCAGAATTCGTGGCAGGTGAAGCACTTTGTGAACCTCCATGCGCAGATTTCATGGCAGGCACAGCACTTTGTGAACCTCCATGTGCAGATTTCGTGGCAGGCCCAGCACTTTGTGAACCTCCACGTGCAGATTTCGTGGCAGCCGCAGCACTTTGTTCGTGGCAGGCGCAGCACTTTGTGAACCTCAGGCACAGCACTTTGTGACCTCCATGTATAGATTTGGCGGCAGGCAAAGCACTTTGTGAACCTCCATGTGCAGATTTCGTCGCAGGCACATCACTTTGTGAACGTCCATGTGCAGAGTTCGTGGCAGGCACAGCAGTTTGTGAACCTCCATGTGCAGATTTCATGGCAGGCACAGCACTTTGTGAACCCCCATGCGCAGATCTCATGGCAGGCACAGCACTTTGTGAACCGTGAACCTCCACGCGCAGATTTCGTGACAGGTGCAATACAAAATGCGTTTTCGAGAGATAGCGGACGCACGAAATGCTGCGATTTTCAATAGAAAGGGTGGCTCCGAAGCTGGCAAGTCAAGCTTTGCAGAACGACGTGTCTCGAGACGGTCTCATGGTCGGGTCATGGTCATGCTCGGAATCCATTGTGGCTAGAGTTTTCACTTGTTTCTTGAAGCGCAGATTTGGTGGCAGGCACAGCAGATTTCATGGCAGGCGCAGCACTTTGTGAACCTCCATGCGCAGATTTCGTGGCAGGCACAGCACTTTGTGAACCTTTATGCGCACATTTCGTGGCAGACGCAGCACTTTGTGAACCTCCATGCGCAGATCTCGTGGCAAGCACAGCATCTGGGGAGCTGGAAGCTGAGAACTGGCGACTCTGTCGTACAACTCTAGTACGCGGAGTAATCTGGCGAGGCTGAGAACTGGCGACCTTGTAGTACAACTGTAGTACGCGGAGGAGCCTGGAAGCTGAGAACTGGCGACTTTGTAGTACAACTTTAGTACGCGGAGCGATCTGTGGAGCTGGAAGCTGAGAACTGGCGACTTTGTAGTACAACGTTAGTCCGCGGAGTATCTGGGCAGCTGGAAGATGAGAACTGGCGACTTTGTAGTACAACTTTAGGACGCGATAGTACGCGGAGTATCTGGAGAGCTGGAAGATGAGAACTGGCGACTTTGTAGTGCAACTTTAGTACGCAGAGCAATCTGTGGAGCTGGAAGCTGAGAACTGGCGACTTTGTAGTACAACTTTAGTACGCGGAGTGTCTGGAGAGCTGGAAGATGAGAACTGGCGACTTTGTAGTACAACTTTAGTACGCGGAGTATCTGGAGAGCTGGAAGATGAGAACTGGTGACTTTGTAGTACAACTTTAGTACTCGGAGCAATCTGTGGAGCTGGAAGCTGAGAACTGGCGTTTTTGTGGTACAACGTTAGTACGCGGAGTATCTGGGGAGCTGGAAGATGAGAACTGGCGACTTTGTAGTACAACTTTAGGACGCGATAGTACGCGGAGTATCTGGAGAGCTGAAAGCTGAGAACTGGCGACTCGGTAGTACAACCTTAGCACGCGGCTGAGTCATCTCTCGCGGCTGCTCTGGCGCCCCTGCAGCTGAGTCATGTCGCCCGACCACGCGGCTCTCTTGAGAGGTTGACAAATTTTATTGCTTACTCAAAAGTGGTCATTTCGATTACTTTCTGGAGACCTCATAACACGTGCTTTGAGAGGTTGACAAATTTGAGCTAATTAGCTTCGTGTCTAGACAAGCTATCACATCATAGTTAACGTCTAGCTCCAGTTAGCTTTAGTGGAGCTAGAGCTAGAGCTATGCTTCACTCATCACTCATCACTCGTGCGTCTTACTGAGGGACACGAGGGACACGCATGGTGGAAAGAACCGGGACACTCCTATAGGTCAGTTTGTTCTTATAGGAAACTTCCGCCGCCGGCTTGCCCGGGCACTACTTGTATACATATATGGTGTCTCACATCACTGTCAGACATGTGCCCTATCCAAAGTCTCCCCTCGCTCTTCTCGGGACCGACCGCCGCCGCACCTCGCTCCGCGAACCAGCGCACCATGCGCGCGTGCGGGGAGCGGCGACGTTCGGCGTCCGGCATATGGGGGTGGGTGTCATGGACCATGGACCACTGGTCTTTTTGTCTGGGACAGGTTCATTGGACAGTGAAGAGTGAGGTGTCCATCGAAGGGGCGTCTGTGCAACCAAGGACAAACTGAAACCAGTCTCAACCAAGAAGAGGGCGGTGGCTGACATGGGGTGGTATCGTGTCCGTCAATGGATCCTTGTTGGTTCTTCTTCGCCGCTGCCCAATCACAAATCCTTTGGCACAGCACGTCCAAGGTTTTTTTTGGAGGGCGCTGACTTAACGAGTCATGCCCACGCCGGTTCTCAAGACCTAGTTCAATACAAAGGTCACCAACCAAGATGGTTTTGAAGCTTTTGGATGGCATTGAAGTTCATTGAAGTCGCCAGAGCCAAAAAGGCCAACTCAGCACTGGAATCGCTCGGTACCATGCGCAAACCTCTCCACGCGACCAGACTGGAAGTCTGAATCGAAACCTCCTGAGCGCTCCCCTGGAACCCTGGAGTCCTTAGAAAGTGGTCTGACAAGCCATTGGTTTGGGGTCTCAGTTTGCTACACACCGTAAACTGATTGGAAAGCACGCAGCTTTCGACCGAGATGAAGAAAAGCACTTGCCAACACAAAATGAGCACGTCCATCTCTGATCACTCAAAAGCTCAAGGACGGACTCTTTTTGCGTTCAAAAACATTCAAAGGGGTAAAGCGTGGAGTTGTCACGTGAAACACAGCAGAGGTTCGGCGGCCTGAACGAGATGTTCATGCACTTGGGCAGATCCGTTCATCGCCGCAAAAATACAAGGCCCCCAAGAAGCAGGTCGATCAACCGGGTTCAGGCCCACAAGAATGCCAAGTTGGGGTACAATTCTTTTTGGCTTTTCTTGGCAAACTTCGTGACGACTTCATTGAAATCCTCTGGAGTCCATTCGACTTTCCCCGGATGCTGGGAGTCATCCTCCACCCATTCCCACGCGGCCAACTCGTCAAAGGTATCTTCACGATCGCCCCTGTTAAAGAGCGACAAGACCAGGTTGAACTGGGGCGTGCTAAGAACCCCCTTTTCCTGGAGGAAGAACTGCCGCACGACTTCATCTCCTTTGAAGTTCTCGGAGAAATCAAAGTCATCATCTGCATCTGGCTCCTGCTCTGGGAAAAATACCACGCTACGCCACTGTAAATTACAGTGCATACATGGAACAAAATACCATTCAAATTTACTAAAGTTGTTTTCCCCTCTTTTCTCAAATGCATAGCGAAGGGTTCTCGTTTAACTCTGGGGTTTGGGGGTGGACTCTTGTTCGCGTTGTCGTAGCGTTCGATGGAAACATGATGAAACATGACGCGCGAGATTCGTGTGAAATAGCAAGGAAACGTGTGGAAACGTAAGATGTTGAAGTGTGGAACATGATTTCACCGTGCAGGCGCAGGCGTTTTGTGAGATGTGCAGTTTTCCTCGCATTCACATCAGGATTGGCGCTTGGAGGGTGGTGTTTTTGGGTGTTGCATGTGGCTGCGACATTGGGATTTGCGTTTCAGGTTGTTGTTTCGAAGCTGTGTTTCCGTGACAAGCAGCTCAAATTGTGAATATGGTGGCTGGGAGTGTACTCATATCGTGTCGAAATCATTCCAATCGTGTGGTGTGGCGCAATCTTTGCTGAAGCTACGAACATATGATGTTGTCACTTTTCGTGGCCGGCGCAGTACTTTGTGTGGATTTTGAAGTGTGGAAGTGCAATTTTCGTGGCAGGCGCAGGGAATCGTGAGGTTGCGAGCTGTGGTGGAGATGAATGCCGCTGTGACATTGGGATTGGCATGCGAGCGGGCGCTTGTTGGTTGGAGGGGCTGGAATCGTGAAACTGCTTGGCAGGGCTGCTTGACGCGGGCCGCTTGACTTTTGGAGGAAGTCTCATGTGAAATGCCCGTTTTGGATGTGACTTTTAGAGGATGTCTCGCGTGAAACGCTCGTTTTGGAGACTTGACCAGTAAATTTTGGACGAAACACTTGCTTTGCAGACTTGAAGTGTGAGTTTTTGAGGATGTCTCGCGCGAAACGCTCGTTTTGGAGACTTGACCAGTGAATTTTGGAAGAAGTCTCGTTCGAAACGCTCGCTTTGCAGACTTGAAGTGTGAGTGTTTGAGGAAGTCTCGCGCGAAACGCTCGTTTTGGAGACTTGACAATACTTGACAAGTGAATTTTGGAAGAAGTCTCGTACGAAATGATCGTACAAAATGCTTGTTTTGCAGACTTGACGTGTGACTTTTGGAGCAACTACTTTTGGAGACTTTAGTCTACAAGAGTGTCCCGCAAGAGTGTCCGACAAGAGTGTCCTACAAGAGTGCCCGCAAGAGTGTACCACAAGAGTGTCCGACAAGAGTGTCCTGCAAGTGTGTCCCACAAGAGTGTCCTACAAGAATGTCCCACAAGAGCATCCTACAAGAATGTTTCGCCAGAGCGTCCCACAAGAATGCCATACAAGAGTATCCCAAAAGAGTGACCCGCAAGAGTGTCTTACACGAGTGTTCCGCAAGAGTGTCCCGCAAGAGTGTTCGACAAGAGTGTCCCACAAGAGTGGCCCACAAGAGTGTCCTACAAGAGCGACATACAAGAGTGTCGGACAAG